TCTCAGGGCTGGGGCAGGGGGTGCCAGAGAGCGAGGGAGTGTTCGTAGGCTGACGGGCAGTGCCAGGTATGAGCAGAAAAGAAAGTAGTGTATTGTAATCCACTGGATGGAGTAACAGTCCGGGTCTACACACATGTAACTAAAGGCAGGTGGCGAGAACATGTTGCTTTTTTTTTTTTTTTTAAAGATTTTATTTATTTGAGAGAGAGAGCACAGAGGGGAGAGGGAGAAGCAAGCTCCCCACTGAGCAGGGAGCCCGATGCGGGACTCAATCCCAGGAGCCTGGGACCACGACCCGAGCCAGAGGCAGACGCTTCGCTGACTGAGCCACCCAGGCGTCCCCAGTGTGTTCCTTACAGTGGAATACCAGCGAGGAAATACAACTGAATGAAGGGGTTAGAAAATCATCGGGTGGTAACAGAATTTGCATGTAATCTCAGAGTGTCTCCCCACAAATTACCTATTAATGACAAAAGAAAAATAATAGAGTGGAAAAAGTTGGCGGGCACTTGGTTTGCTACCACTATTGGGACCAACCAACCTCAATGCTCTTGGGGTGACTGAGCATCATTTCTGTGACAGTCCTGCCGAAAAATGCCCACTGTGAATGTCACAGTGAGGAAACCATGAACTGTTGTGCAGAGTACCTGGCCTAGACTCTTGGAAACGTCATGTCGGTGAGAGTGAGGACTGAGGAGCCGCCCAGGTGAAAGGAGGCAGGAGACACGGGACCGTCTTAGAAAAGAAAAAGAGCTCTAAACGTGACTGCTGGGACAGTGAAGCAGATCTTTGTCCTTTGGGCTAGCAGCTGGTGTTGCGTCCGGGTTGGGGTCCTGCTGCCCTTGTTCGTGGTGCGTCAGGGCGCAGCACCCTGTGAGGGATGGGGACTGGGACGCGCTCTGGCCCTGGGCGCTAGCAGTGGGAAAGTCGCCGTCAGCCAGCCTTAGAGCCCGTGGGGCGGTGCGCAGGCAGGTGCCTCGCTGCCTTCTGTGGAGCAGGCCATGTTCCCCAGGGCCCAGGGGGACAGGCCTCTCTTCCAGACCCTGCTTTCCGTTCCTGCAGACATACCATGCAGTCGAGTTGCTGGATCATATGGTCATTCTGTTCTGTTGTTTAGGAACTGCCGTACTGGGGTCTGGTTCCTTAGCGGTTGTCCCATTTTACATTCCCAGCAGACGTGCCCAAGGGTTCCATAGAAGTAGGTTTCCAACCCAGAGAGAACATCTCTGGAGAATGAAGGTGATGAAGACAGCCTCAGCTGCTGGCAGCCGCCCCTTCCCGAAGGAGACCGCTAAGAGTGTTCTTCAAACAGAAAGAACCAGCTGTCAGCTGGAGACTACCTGATGCACATATGCCGGTAACTCTAGGTGACCATCCACGGGACAAAACCATACTAACAGTGTCCTGTGGGGTGTAAGATGTTTAGAGTTAAAACACAGGAGACCAACAGCACGTGAGTGTGCAAGTGAAGTGAATGGAATTAATTCTGACCTTGTGTTGCCAGGGGGGACTTTGATACGCCAGGGCTCCTGCTGTGATCTTCACGGGAACCACTGAAAGCATCGTAAAAGGGTTATTTTGTTAGAGAGAGGAGATGGAAAATAAAAATTATCCCAAAAGAAGGCAAGAAAGAACTAAAGAATGTGGAACAGGAGGACAAACAGAAAGCTAGTGACGAGACGGTGGACAACCCCCTCTCTGACAGTGATCACACCCAGCACAGCAGGATCAGATGATGCAATTTGAAGAAAAAAATTGTCCAGCTGGATCTTAAAAAGACTGGGTTTTACAGAAGACACACAAGAGTAAAAATAACATATATCAAATTAAACGTCAAAAGAAGGAAACCCAACGTTCTGCAAACAGCAACCAAAGAGAAAGGCAACGCAGAGGCAGGGCATGTTCGCGGTTGGGCATGTTCGTGTCCATCCCATCGAGATTTTACTCTGAGAACTTTGAAAGGTACGGAGAAGTCGGAAGTTTCTCTACCGGCAGCACCTGGAAAATTGGCTATGTTGGCTGTGCCCGTGTGTGCGCGCGTGTGTGCGTGCCTGTGCTCCGGTGCCTGGCTGTCTTGTGGGGACACGGTCTCCCCCACTGGCATTTCCTCTCGCCGGTCACGGGCCAGAACTTCGTCGTGTCAGCCAGCAGCGAAGGCCCAGGGCACTCAGTCTTTGTCCCAAGGGCCAGCTTTGCTGTCTAGAAGGTTAAAAAGGTAAACAATTAACCAGGTAAACAGATAACCAGCTTTTTCTTTTCTCTCCCCTTTGTCATCTGAACTTAGAGCTCCTGTACATAGTGGGGTTTGCTCTATACTGGAGGCTGTAGAAAATTAAGAAATTGTGTTTTTCTTGGTTTCTGCCTTAAAGATGGACTTTTTATTTTCTTAAGTTTTGTTTGTTTAAGTAATCTCTGTACCCAGTGTGGAGTTTGAACTCACCACGCCGAGATCAAGAGTCACATGCTCCACCAACTTAGCCAGCTGGGAGCCCGAAAGATGGACTGTTTGTCCATGTGAAAGGCACGCTGGGGCCCTGTCTGGGGAGGGACCAGACAGTCCTGCTGGACGTGGGTCCTGCTGCATGGGGGCAGGGCAGAGGCCAGTGCCTGCAGGGAGCAGAGCTCCAGGGCCACCACGCTCCCCAGCATGCTCTGTGGGCTGGGCCTTCCGTGCCAGGCTACCTTTTTCCCTTTAATTTGAAGGTTTTTTTCTCGTTTGACCAAATGGGTATTTACAGAAAATTACCAAAGTTTAATATTCTTTAAATGAAGCGGGGAAACGAAAAAAGTTTATTTAGCACTTAGCCTGGGATGAGGATTTCAGTAGTGGTTAGAGTGGTGACAGTATTGGTGGTTTGGGCGCCTGGGTGGCTCAGTTGGTTGGGCGACTGCCTTCGGCTCAGGTCATGATCCTGGAGTCCCGGGATCAAGTCCCGCATCGGGCTCCCTGCTCAGCAGGGAGTCTGCTTCTCCCTCTGACCTTCCTCCTTCTCATGCTCTCTGTCTCTCATTCTCTCTCTCTCAAATAAATAAATAAAATCTTAAAAAAAAAAATATTGGTGGTTTTATTTTTTTAAGTATAGAAGAGGAATAACAGTGTCATTTAAAAATAATGTTTTATGATAGGGGTGCCTGGCTGGCTCAGTTGGTAGAGTGTGCGACTCTTGATCTCCAGGTCGTGAGTTCAAGCCCCATGTTGGGCCTAGAACTTACTTTAAAAAAGAAAGTAAAAATAAAAAAATTTTATGATGTTGCAGGCTCCCATCATTTTGTCTGCTTCACGTCAGATATACTCTAGATGAGGAGGTATAAACAAACAGGGCCAGGGACAGGCTGTCTGCGTTGCTGTCCGTGTCCCCATCCCTTCCTGCAAGCGCGGACCCTGTTCTGAAGAACATGCGCTGCCCTGGCTCGGCCGTCATTCGGCTGGAACCAGTTCACGGCCTCCGAGGAGGGGTCAGTCTGCGGCGGGTGGGTCAGAAGAGCAGATGTGCTGTAGGGCAGTGAGTTACTCCTCTCTGGTGCGGGGACGTGGAGCTGGTGGGTAAGTTATGTGGCTGTGTCGCTGGCCACCTGTGTGGCCTCCTGGCTGCAGTAGGAGGATCACCTGGTACTCCTCTGGCTTTCGTGGCCTCAGGTACTGCTCCTCCTGAGGCAGTGGATGCCAAGACCACCGGGAGAGTTGACCCCACTCGGTCGGGCCTCTCTTCCAGCCACAGTGCCTGGCCCAGCCCAGTCCTGCACATCCTGCGTGATGGGTGTTCAGGATACTGAGGTACCTGGTTCCAGGTCTTGTCAAGCGTCTTTTCCACTGAGTGTGTGCATGGTTAGGATTGGGGCTTCCAGAAAGTTCTGTCGATCGGTGATGGTTGTCACTCCTTCTGGGGTCTGAGGATTGCACCGATTCATCCCAGGTCCCCCCCGGCACTTGGCACAGGTTGTTGTCCATGCGGGTGACAAGCGTTCGGTCCTGTTACCAGAAGTGAGGCTAGAGCCCAAGGTGGGACTGCGTCCCGGGCCTTGTGTACAAATCACTGAGCGCTCGACATGGGTACCCCAGCCACCAGGAGGGCTCGACGGGCCCCCGTCGTGTTGGAGCTGTCAGAGAACCTTGCTGTCGTTTGTCACTTGGCCTAAGATCTGTATGTTGCTTTAGGAGGACAGAGTTTGGGGGAGGAGGAGGGGTCGATCGTGCTGCGGTGACATGGCCGTGGGTGGTGGGGGAGGCGCCTAGACAGGAGAAGAGCGCAGCCTCCAGGAAGAGGCCCATGGAAGGATGACAAGGACTGGCGTTGAAAGTTACTCAGAATAAGGTAGATTATTCAGTATTTGGTGCTAACAACCGGCTCTCCATTTTGATGCAAGGGAATGAGGTAGATTATATACCCACCATTTTAGGTAAAGTTTGAAATTTAAAAAGAAACGAACTATTGGAGCATTTGAGGAAAAATAAAAGAATATATTTTTAATGTTGGAATGAGGAAGGCCTGCCTACTAAGATACAAAAAATCTATGAAGGAAAAGATTGGTAAGTCTGATTTCATAGAAATGAAAACCTTTGTGTGACCAAAATCAATCTAAACAAAGTTAGAAAAGTGACATTTAGGGAGAAAGTATTTTTCGCATGTGTAATTAGAAGTTAGTAGTAAGAATATTTAAAGGCTTTGGGAGATTCCTGAACATCCCGGTGGAAAATGGACGAAAGGTGTGAGCAGGTAACGGACAGAGAACAGGGTGTAAATGATGTGTGAACGGCTGCCCTGTCACCTCTCGGGGAGATGCAGACTGAAACCCAGTGGCACGTTCTGGCGAATCTGCCCTGAAGGTGGAGGAAGTGATGAGAAGGCAGCGTGAGGTGTCCCTTCCCTCCTGTCTTGCATGTCCCGTCCTATGACGGTTCTCGGACGTGTGCACGAGGGTCCCGTTTTAGTTGGGTGCGTAAAAATGCACATACAGATGACGGTCTGTGTGCTCACCGAGGCATCTGTGTAAATGCACAGGGAAGGTCTGGAGAGACATCTGGGAAGAGCAGTGGGCGGAGGCAGGACGGACACCGGCCCCTTGTGCCGTCTCCTCTGGAGGGTTTGCGTGTGCGGTTCCGGAGCCAGGGCGTCCAGGTGACTCGGGAAAGGGGGTGAGCGCCACGTGTTGCTGGGCTGCTGCTGACCTCTGCTCTCTGTTCACAGGTGTGGGTCCTGGCGGGAGCCCGTCAACCCCTACTATGTCAGCTCTGGCTACGCTCTCGCCCCGGCCACCAGCGCCAACGACAGTGAGCAGCAGAGCCTGTCCAGCGACGCTGACAGCCTGTCCCTCACCGACAGCAGCGTGTGAGTGCCTGCCCCTCGGCCGCGTCCTGTGCCGGTCCCAGCGGGGCCTGTCTTCCTAGGAAACGTTGTGCGGCCCCCCAGCTGATGCACAGACAGGCTTGCACTGCCCGAAGTATCATGACACATCCTGACTTTTCCGTAGGCTTCTCTCCTGGGACCTTTGAAAGAGGGAAAACCGTTGGGGGGCAGGTGGTAGTGCCGAGAATGCTTGCTGTGCTGGGGTCCCTCTTTGTCAGGGCCCTGCTGTCATTGTTCCAGATCTAGTCTCTATCACATACTCTGCGTAGGCCACGGGATGACAGGAGCCGGACGGGAGCTGGTGTGGCTGGTTCTGTGCTGGCCCCGGTGCCTGGAGGACTCAGGGATAGCCGCTGGGGCTGCTCGTGTCCAAGAGGCCTCGGCGACCGTCCAGAGCCCCCTGGAACCTCAGTGTCCCTCAGGGGTCACAGTGGACCTTATTCTTCCATTGTCCTCTCCAGGGAGGCCTTCCCTTTGCGGGAAAGTACTTACTTTCTGACACTTGGCTTTGCTTTTTGGCAGGTGGTTTTTGGGACCCAAATGCACCAGAAGTTTGGTGGTGTAAAACACTCTATGGTTATATCAGAGCGTGGCCCGACCAGCCTGCCAAGGGCATTTGGGGTCGTGACTGCCCATGAACGTCAGATTTACCCCACTTTCAGTCACCTGACTGCCACTGATGGGAGGTTCCTGACCAAGACGGGGGCTGGGGGCTGGGGGCCGAAGCCCGGGCGCTGCCCGCCACTGTCAGGGCCAGAGAAGCCTTTGGCGGGGACAGTGAGCAGGTGTGAGACCGCAGTGGGTGGCGGCAGTAGCTCTCAGCTGGCTGCCCGGCGTCTCTTCCCCAGCCAGCAGCTTGTTTCTTCCTGAACCTGTCTTTCTGCAGGGAACAGCTCTTAAAACTGTGCTCCCACTTCCTGTAGCGTTTTCAGAGTGTGTGCTCTTCTGTGCTTGTGTCCACGTGTTCCTCTGACCCTGCCTCGTGCTGTGCAACCCAGCCAGCGTGGGCCGTTCCCGGGCCACACCAGCCAGCCCCGAGTCGCTGCGCATCTGGGGCACCTCGTCTTCTCCTCTGTGGGGACCACATGGTGGTGACATCGCGAGACACGTCTGTCCCCATCATTTCCTTCTCCTTTGTGTCAAACCTTTAAGATAAAATGTTGATGTGTGTATAGCAGCTTCTTCCTTGAAATGACCATGGTTTCAGCAGTACTTGCCACGACCCCCATGAGCAGTCGATGGCTTCGGATTGGGCATTTATAGCATTTGGTGTTCTCTCTTCCCGGAACCGGCTACTACAATGAAAATTTGCCAGCACATTTTTTCTTGAAAAGTCTTAATTCTTTCTAAGAAAAGGACATATATTCGCGAAAGGAAAGAAGTTTTTTTTTTTAAGATTTTATTTATTTATTTGACAGAGAGACAGCGAGAGAGGGAACACAAGCAGGGGGAGTGGGGGAGGGAGAAGCAGGCTTCCCGTGGAGCAGGGAAGCCCAATGTGGGGCTCGATCCCCGGACCCTGGGATCATGACCTGAGCGGAAGGCAGATGCGCAACGGCTGAGCCCCCCAGGCGCCCCTAAATAAATAAATCTTAAAAAAAAAAAAATGGAAAAACCATTCTTAGCTATGAAGGCGTAGAAAGCGGGCCATGCTGCTCTACTCCAGGTAGAACCAGCACAGCAGAGTTTCGTTGAGCTGTTCTGTTTGCCCTCACACTAGGCTCTCCTTCTTCTGGACAGGGATGGAATCCCACCGTACAGGATCCGCAAGCAGCACCGCCGGGAGATGCAGGAGAGCGTCCAGGTCAACGGGCGGGTGCCTCTACCTCACATTCCTGTAAGTTCGGCTGCATAGCCGTCCCCTTCCCGTCAGGGAGGTCGGGGCTCCCCAGTCCTCTTGGACCATACCCAACCCTTCTCCCTACCCCACCTGGCCGCCGTGGCACTGGGCAGTGGGAAAGGCGCTTGCCTGGCTTCTTGTGAGCTCAGCTCACGTCCAGGTTCAGCACGTGGCCCCACACGGTCACACCCCGCAGGCTGGAGGGGGCAGCATGGGCGGCTTGTAGGTGTAGCCGGCACGGTCCCCCACAGGACCAGGGAGGGCCTGACACAGCACCTGCCGGGAAGTCTTCACGCATCCTGTCAAGTGAAGTGCTTCTCCTTGAGGTGGGAGAGCAGCTCTCAGCTCATCACTGGCTTCATGCCCGGGCCCGGCCCCCGCACGGGCCTCCTGACTGGCTCCGTCGTCGACACGTAGTGACCCTGGCGCCAGGTTCCTGGGAGGGCTTTCTTCTGCTTTGCCTCATAGTGTGAAAACAGTGAGGGGATTGGTGGCCCCGACTATGGGCACTGGGGGGCCGCACGGAGCAGGCCGGGCAGCCTGTCTCCACCTGCGCAGCTTCTGTGTGGGTGAAGGGAGGGGTAGCTTTCCTTATTCGGCCCACTGACTGAACGGGAGACCCTTCTCAGGGAGAGAAGGAAAGCTCTCAGGAGTCTCCAGCCCATGGGTGCCTGTGAGCTCCCGTCAGCGGTTTCTGTGCGGGATCGCTGCACACCTGTCCATGGTCAGGGCTCCTCAGTTAGAGTCTTCTAGCTTCTCCAGATACTTCAATTCCCGAATGAGAAAAGTGGTGGTTGATGGTTGAGAAGAAAGGATGTGGGTGTGCTCTTACTTCTGAGGAAAGGGTGGGCCAGCATTTTGTCACCTCCCAGCCCACCCTGGGCATGGCCCAGATTTGGCCTACATAGGCACTGACGGTGTCTGCTCGGGGAGGAGCGGAAGACGCTGTGGGGAGTGTGTGCGCGCTGCCAGTGACCTCTTGGGGCTCCCTCTCAGGGCGCGCCTGCCAGGCTGGCTTGTGTTGTCTGGAGCCGCCTGGGCCTCAGCCCAGGCAGGTGCCTGCCCATGCCTTTGCCTCACTGTGTGGTGCGGCCTGCGTCCCCCAGCTGTGCTCTGCGGACGCTGAAACTCAGAACTGGGTCTGGGCAGGGGAAGCAGAAGGTATCCCATGTCCCTGAAAGGAAGGGAGTGAGCGGACACAGGAGCCGCGTGGAGGTGCTCCCTCCCCCAGGCTCTGCTGGAGCGTCAGAGTCCGTGGTGGTGCAGGAGAAATCTGTGCATCTCTGCTGGTAAAAGGAACAAGTAGAGTGTGCTGAGGGACAGGACACTGACATCATCCCGGATGGTCCCTCGGGAAGTATTTGCTCACAGCGGGAAGAAGCGACTTTCTGTGGTGGGACAGACGGATGCTGCCCTTGTGAGGACAGTGAGGAGGGCCTGGCGCCCCTAGGGGCCTCTTGCGGGGGATGTCACCAGGACACAGCCCACGTTGAGGGCCACCTGCACGAGAACTGGCTTCAGATTGTCAGACATGACAGGGTCGTGGAAGTGCAGGGACGCAGGAGTGCGGAGAAGCAGCCCAGCTGAGCACCGCAGGCCTCGGTGGGGGAGGGAGAGAAGCAGTGTGGGGCCCGCGTGGCCTTAGGGTCTGGGGTGCCTGCATCAGAAAGCCCTCCTGTGTGGGACACTTGCCAACAGATTCCTGCTGATGGCACATCACGGAGGGAGCTGACTCACGGGGTGCGGGAATAGTGCTTTGCGTGTTCCTGCAACTTTTCTGCCCAGCCGCCATCACCCTGGACGCTTGCTTCTCTCCAGCGGACTTGCCTTCACAGCAGCCCCCCAGCTTCCTCCCCCTTCTCTGTAAAATATCGTCCTTTCCTTTGTTTGAGGGAGTGGTCTATGATTTTTGCCATACATTGCTTGTTTTCAGTTGCAGTTCTTTGTTTTTCTGAACAAAGCCATTTTTCTTGGTAAAATAACTCCCTTTTATTTTCAAGGGTAACGTTTCTTACCTAACAAACCAGCAAACAGCGGTCCTCATCTTCACAGAGGTTCTGGAGGGCCGTGATTGCGGGTGACGCCGGCCTGCTCCAGGGTCCTGCACACGTTCTTTTGTCATTGGCGGAGGCGGGCCCAGGAAGTGCGTGCCAGACCCGCACGGCCCACAGCTGCCCCTCGTGCCTTCACTGCGCTGTGTGACTTGCAGGGGCTCCCGGGCCAGGCTGAGGGGCTGTGTGTCAGGGCCACAAGGGCGCCAGCCGGTGCTGACCATCCAGGGGTGAGATGTCTGCTCCTTATGGCTGAGGGAGGGGCCGTTTTCACGCTCCAGGAGGTCCTGGTTCTAATGACTGAAACTTTTTCCTTTGTGACTGTTTTGTTCCTCCCCAGCTGGAAGGTTGTTGGTTTGTACAGATCTGGTCTTTGTAACTTCCGGCAGGTTGCTACTTTCAGAAGCATAATTGTGCAGCCTAGAGGCTCTTTTCCAGAACACACGGGCTTGGGGGTGTGCATCTGCCGCAGGGCCGAGCCTCCCACGTGTCCTCTCGCCGGTGTCACTTCATGTGCGTGTGGTTCGGTCTTGTCAGGACTTTTCTCTCTGCCCGTGGCCTGCGTGTCACGTCATGTGGTCAGGACTGCGAAGCTCTTGCCATCTGGACGTCTGGCCTTCAGCCTTCAGTCCCATGTGGGTCCCGGTGGCATTCTCTGCTCGGCGCGGTACCCAGAGAAGCCAGCACTCCCCGGCCAACCCCACTGGCCTCTAGGCCTCTCTTGTCTGTCTGAAAGTCCTGTCCAGGAAGATTCCTTCAGAGCCTCAGCCACTTGGCTGTCCCCACTGCCCAGGCTCTTCTGGGAACACTGGGCACCCCCAGCTGCCCCTTCCTCTTGGGTCTCGCCTCCTCGCCTCCAGGACAAACTCCTGTCCGGCGTTAGGCACCACTGGACGGTCAAGAAAATGCCTGTGTGCGTCCGTGTGTGTGGGAGGGAATGACAGTAACTGGCAGGTAGCAGCAGTTAGGGAATCTGGCCGAAGAGTGCACAGCAGTTCTCTGTGCTGTGCAGGACGGTCGCGGGCCGTTTCTCCCCTGGGGCTCCTGGACTTGGCTTCTCCCTCCTGCATAGTCCTTGCAGCTCTCCCTTCCCTCTGATCAGGCCTCACTGGGGATTGGCCTGGCCAGTCGTGTTAGAGGCCCTTCTCTGGGCTAGGGTAGGGGGGCGCCGAGGTGAAGGGTACACCTGGGCTTAGGACACCAGAACCTCCTACTAGCTGGGGCCCTGCCAACCGCTGCCCTGATGACCTAACCAGACCCAACCCGGCTCCTGTCTGCTCTAGACCCCCAGTTCTCTGCTCACGAGGCTGGGGAAGCATTGCTAGAGCTCTGTTCGTCCTCCTCGGTCAGGGCTGGGTGAAGGACAGCTTCAGTCCAACAAGGAAAGTGGGTAACGAGGAGGTGGACACCAAGCGAAAGGGAGAAAACGCGAACACTTGCTTGAAGAGAAAGTGCAGATTTCATAGGCTATTTCTTATCACCCAGAAAGAGCTCAGCTGCCATCTTGGCATGGGGGTGGCCGTTGAAAGCTGCACGTGGCTGGCTAATCAGCGGTGTCTCCTTGTAGCGCACTTACCGAATGCCAAAGGAAATCCGTGTGGAGCCCCAGAAGTTCGCCGCGGAGCTCATCCACCGCCTGGAGGCCATCCAGCGGACACGGGAGGCCGAGGAGAAGCTGGAGGAGCGGCTGAAACGCGTCCGGATGGTGAGTGGGCGCCCCCTGGGGAAGGCCACACCACATCTCCGTTCCTGAATTATCTTCTTGCGGTTGGGTTGAGACAGCTTCAGGCCCCAAGGAGCCCCTTCCCGGCTCTCCCAGCGTGCTGGCTCCTGACACACCCTGGCCCTATCCTGGGGTCTGGCTGCTCTCCTGGGATGCCTGCCCCTCTGAAGCCCCCACCGTGCATGCCTGGCCTTCATGTCTCCTGGGGGGCAGGTGCGCATGGTTGGGGGGTTGCCAAGCCAAGGCCTGGAGCAACCCATAGGCGCTCAGCAGCAGCTCCTTGGCTCTTTGCAGGGCTGGGGTTCCTTGACCACCTTCTTATGGGAAGATGGTTCAGAGGCGGGCTCTCAGGTCCTGGCCCCTTCCCGCTCCCTTCCCCTCACTGCTGCAGGCTCTAAGGGCTGGTCCTCCCGTCTGCCTTGCTGGCCACATCTCCGTGTCCCCTAGGCTCCCTCAGGGTGTAGAACTGAGAATTTCCCTGAGTGCTGATAGATGGAGGCCCGTCATGGACACGGCCTGGTTCTGTGCCACGTGCATGTGCAGAGCGGAGCGTGTACTTGGCAGGAAGGGCTGGTAGCTCCCACTTGTCATCTCAGAACGCAGAAAGGCTTTAGTTTCGGACATAGACTTCTGGGTATCTTGTTCTCTGATCTGTGGCCTTCCTTGATAGAGTGCTGGATAATAGGGAAATTTAGTATGATTGATAATTTATTTGCTTTAAGCTTGCCCCCCAGGAGACATGAAGGCCAGGCATGCACGGTGGGGGGTTCAGAGGACCTTTTCTGCCTATAACTGCCAAAGAGACACTTTGCTTTTGTTGTCCCTGCGTGTCATCCTGCAAGATTCACTTCCACACACGTTCACGGGCTTTGTGCTGAGACATTGATGACAAGCAAGCCCCTCGAGTGAGGCCCTCCCTGGCTCCCCACACCTTACGAGGTTGTTTCTCCTCAAGGCCATTGCAGTCTGTCCTCCTGGAGCCACAGGCCTCTGAGTACCTGGAGTCAGGCCTCTGCTTTTCTCTTAGCACGTGGAGTTCCCTGCGGACATTAAAAGTGGGGGCGCCCGACCAGCTCAGGTAGAGCGTGCGACTCGATCTCAGGGTCATGAGTTTGAGCCCCATGTTGAGGGTAGAGTTTAAGAGAAAGAGAAAAGAAAAAATGGTCACCACCACTTGGGTGTCTTCTGTTCTTTTCTCAATATTTTATGCCCAGCACCTTAAACTCAAAAATGTGATGGTGCTTAAAGGAGGTATTTCTCTACCTGACGTTTGTATTTACAGTACACCCCTGAGCCCTCCACAGACCCTTGTCAGAACCCCTCAGCAGGGGCCTGCCGTCTTCCACTTCGCATGCTCCCAGCTGGGTCGTGTGCATCCGACGTCTGGAGACGCTGCTGTGAGGGTGGTCCTGGGCCACGGCCCACGGCCATGCTCGGTGGGTTCCACGGCTATGCCCTGCAGCTGCCCTCAGGGTTTCTGGACCTCCCTCATGTGACACCCAACTTTGAAACAAGGGGCCTGCCCCCTCCACACACATGTTTCAGATTTCACATAGCTTCTCAGAACCTGGGGTTGGTGGTGGGTACCAGGAAGGCGGGTGTGGTCGCTGAGGCAGTCGGACTGAGGGCGGTGCTCTCCGGGAGGGAGTCTGCGTGCACACATTTTCAAGCACTGTGCAGGGACATGTACGTGAGTGTGGCCAGCGTCTTGTGCTTCCTCCCTCATAGAGACCAGGGCCCCACAGCACAGATGCCGGCCCGAGGGTCTGTGTGAGCTGACATGCTGGGTTCCAGTGAGGCCACCTCTTCCTCGGGGTCCCCCTGGAGGCCTTAGTGAGTGACGGGGGCTGTCAGGAGCAGAGTGGCGGGAAGCATGGCATGTTGTAGTGGGCAACAAAGCCGGCACGCTGAGCCCCGTCTGGGTGAGGCTGCCCTCCGCGAGCCTTAGTCAGCAGCTCTCAAACAGCTCATGAAACGAGTACATGACGTTTTGTGAAATGAGCTTGGGAGGAAGAGTTCACCTTTTGCTGTAGGATCGAGTTTTTATACTTGGGCCGAGTTTTCAGTCTTGGCTCAGCGGCTCTGTGCGTGTGGTCCTGGCAGGTCAGTGTACCCGGCAGGCATTTTAGATGCAGCTTAGCTATAGGTACAAGGCGGAGTCGTAGTCTCCTCTTCTCTGGGGCATCCCTAGCGGGTCTGGGCAGTTGTGCCCAGATCCAGCAGGAGCCCTCACTCATAGAGGGGCTGCACCTGGGCACAAGGACTACACGGTGCTCTGTGACCTCACAGAACATGTTCAAACCAACAGCCCCTGTGTTTCTGTCCTGTCAATTCAGCAACTAATGGGCGAGCACATGGCCTCAGCTCAGGTGTGCGGCCCTGTGCAGGGCCTGCGGCGGCCTCTGGCCAGGGGTGCCGGGCTTAGCCGCTGCAGCCACGTTGTTCCCACAGGCGCCCCTCACGGCCCCACCACTGACAGTGAAGTCTCGTCTCTCATCCTTTGTGTTTCAACGCAGAAACCCAGGAGAAAATCAGATTTAATTACCTGCGTACAGGGAATCCACACGGACGGGAGACTCCCAATCTTGTATGATTTTGTATCCTATATAAATATGCCATAAATTAGTCTTTTTTAAGAATAACTACAGGGGAGCCTGAGTGGCTCAGTCGTTAAGCGTCTGCCTTCCGCTCAGGTCATGATCCCAGGGTCCTGGGATCAAGCCCCACATCGGGCTCCCTGCTCGGGAAGCCTGCTTCTCCCTCTCCCAGTCCCCCTGCTTGTGTTCCCTCTCTCGCTGTATCTCTCTCTTTCAAATAAATAAAATCTTAAGAAGAAGAAGAACTACACATTTTAAAATAACTTATTTTTGGGGGGCACCTGGGTGGCTCAATCAATTCAGCATCTGCCTCTTGGTTTCAGCTCAAGTCACAATCTCAGGGTTGTGGGATCGAGCCCCACATCAGGCTCTGCACTCAGTGGGGAGCCTGCTTCAAGATTATCTCCCTCTGCCTCTTCCAACTGTGTGTGCGTGCTCGCTCTCTCAAATAAATTAATAAATCTTTGAAAAAATAACTTATTTTTATTGTAAAATTTGGAAAATAAGAACAAAGAAGAAAGTGAGAACTATTAGCTAGACAATTCAGTTAAGCCTATAACATTTCAAAACCCTAAAATTGATTTCCTCTATACGCAGAGCCACTGAGACAGACTGGATCTCGGTCCAGGGTGTCGCCAGCTCGCACCCCCTGGGGATGGAGAGAGCCCCCCTTGCTCACTGCTGCCTTTGGGGTCACTTTCAGTGCCCTGGGGAGGGTATGCCAGAGGGGTCAGGATGGGGACATGGGGTGGGGTGCGGGAGCCCAGGGTCCCAGTGTGAGCCCGTGAGGGGCACATGCACTGTCCACCCCCCCATGTGCCCGTCCCTCTGTCCTTCTCAGCACCACCTCCGCCCTGAGCAGGGCTGACGTGTCTGCAGCTGACCACCCGTGCTAGTGACGTTTAGATACTTTCCTATTAAGTGAGAAGTTTCATGGCGAAGTTTGTGAGGTTTGTTTATAGTAGACTGCAGGGGTATCTATCCCGTCCTTTTTGGTTATTACCAAATTTACTCAACATTGTTCTGGTTTGCGCAGTTCAGTGAAATGAGAAAATCAACATGAGATGTATCTTTTGGAATCAGACTGACCAAATGTTTATGTTTACAGATGTGGTTCTGTGGACCGTCAGACAAATGAAATTCAGCTAGTTCAGTGTGAGAATTTACTAAGAAACACAGAGCAAGATAATTAAGCAGAAAACAAGAGCTCTTCTGTACAAGGGCAATATTCCGTTTGGAAATATAATGGAAAATACGGCAATAAAATTGAGAAATAGGAGGGGCGCCTGGCCGGCTCAGCCAGAGGAGCGTACGACTCTTGGTCTCAGGGTTGTGGGTTCGAGCCCCACATTGGGGGTGGAGATGACAAAAGTCTAAAAATTTTTTTAAAAATTTTTAAAAATTGAGGAATAGGGCACCTGGGTGGCTCAGTCGGTTAAGCGACTGCCTTCGGCTCAGGTCATGATCCTGGAGTCCCAGGATCGAGTCCCGCATCAGGCTCCGTGCTCAGTGGAGAGTCTGCTTCTCCCTCTGATGCTCTCATCTCATCTCATCTCCCTCCTCCCTCTCATGCTCTCTGTCTCTCATTCTCTCTCTCGCAAATAAAATAAAATCTTTAAAAAAAAAAAAATTGAGGAATAGGAAAATCAGTTGAAAAGGTAAAAATACCTTTACTGAGAAATGTGAAAGGAAACTCAGTATGGAGGTTTCTCAGTGGGCAGGACGTAGGCTGACGTAATGACCCTGGGCCTGCTGGTGCACGGTGGTCATGTGCGTGTGTGTGAGGTCGCACGAATGCAGTGGGCGCAGCTCCGTATCCCAGAGCCCAGCGCTTGCGGCTGGGTCGGGGCGGGGGGCCCTCTCGTCACCCTTGAGTCAAGAAAGCGGTACGTCGGGTGCCTCACCTGGCCCCGCCTCATCCTGGGCTCAGGGCTCAGGGCCCCCAGGACAGTGCTGCCAGGCTTCTGTCTTTGTGACCCCAAATGTGAGATTTTCGTGACACAACCAGTGTCAGACGCTGACCCATGGTCTTGTCCTGCAGGAGGAAGAAGGCGAGGATGGTGACATGCCCTCTGGCCCCCCGGGGGCCAGTCATAAGCTGCCTTTGGCTCCTGCCTGGCACCACTTCCCTCCCCGCTATGCAGACGTGGGCTGCATGGGACTGCGGGATGCGCACGAGGAGAATCCTGAGAGCATCCTGGATGAGCACGTGCAGCGGGTCATGAGGACGCCTGGCTGTCAGTCACCAGGGCCCGGCCACCGTTCCCCCGACAGTGTGCATGTGCCCAAGATCGTGGGGGTGCTGGGGGGCATGCCCTCTGGGCATGGTAAGCACGCGCCCAAGTCAGGGACAAAGCTGGACGCGGCTGGCCCGCACCTCCACAGGCACAGCCACCACCACGGCCACCACAGTGCGGCCAGGCCCAAGGAGCAGGCGGACGCGGAGGCTGCCCGCCGGGTGCAGGGTGGCTTCGCTTGGGGCCCGGAGCTGCACGGCCACGCATCCAAGCCCCGCGGCCACTCAGAGAGTGTGGGCGCCGCCCCCAGCGCCAGTGACAGCCTGGCCTACAGGTGAGTGTCTGGTGGCCTGAGCCTTGCTTTGGGATCGGGGCTGTGGTTCCTTTGTCTCCGAGCCTGTGTCCATGAGGGCCACGTGTGTCTTCCCGGGGAGGAAGGTCACAGTGAGAAGCTGCATCTTCTGTGGATTCTGTCATGGTGGCTTTCTAGGCCAGGATTCCCCTGTAAAAGTCATTCAGCCATGAGGGGCGCCTGGGTGGCTCAGCCGGTCGAGCATTGACTTGGCTTTGGCTCAGGTCATATCTCAGGGTCCTGAGATCAAGGCCTGTGTCCGGGCGCCGTACTTAGCGGGGAGTCTGCCTTTTTCCCTCTGTCTCTCCCTTTGCATCTGCTCTTCCCCTCACTTGTGTGCTGTGCTATCTTGAGCTAGCTCTCTCTCAGATCTTTAGAAAAATAATTTAAAAAAATCAAAGTTATTCAGCCACAGTCAGCTGCAGAGTCCGGGCACCACGCACGGATGCTGGGCCTCCCAGGGCTCCAGCCTTGAAGGGTGCTTAGGTAAAGATGCACCTGTTTCAGAGGGAGGCGTCTGGGCGAGGAGTGACTGGGTCCTGTGGCTGCCACCACCAGGTGGGTGAAGGACAGGTGCTCTAGCCCTCCCAGCTGGTGCTGTCCGGACACCTTCCTCCACATCCCACCAAACAAACCCCTGGCAGCCCCCCAGCATTGTCACAGCTGCCCAGTGTCAGGCCAGGTCACGTCAGCAGGTGACCCCCAGCTCTTGTTTTTGCAGCGGGAAGGCTGGTACTGCCTCCAGGAGAAATGCTAAGAAGGCTGAGTTGGGGAAGAGTGCCGGCACTGAGGTGCCAGGCCCGTCGGAAGACACGGAGAAGAACCAGAAGATCATGCAGTGGATTATTGAAGGGGAGAAGGAGATCAGCAGGCACCGCAAGGCCGGCCACGGGTAAGAAGCGCCCAGTGTCCTGGGGCGGGGACACCAGTGTGGAGAGCTAGCCTGACGAGCCTCCGGCCTGCGGCTGCCAGTGCCCTTGAAGTGGTGGCCTGGCCACCCACGGTCTCCTCACGTGGCACATACAGAGGGAGCAAGATCTCTGTGGCCACGTGAGCTTGCTGACACCTGCCCCGCCCCCTGTGGACCCTGGCGCTGCCTCAGTGTCCTGGGCAGGAGTGCCCACTGGTGAGATCAATCTCGAGTCACCGTGCCTCTGTCTGAGCTCCTGCTGCACCCCACCTGCCAAGGAGGGGCCCTGCTGCCACACGGCTGCTCTCACGAGGTTATTTCTGGGGTGGTGACGCCTCCACGTGACAGTGACCTAAGTTCCTGGGGAAGTTAGGCTGGTACCTGCCCATCACCCCAGACAGAGCCCCCAGGAGAAGCCGTCTGTGTTTGCAGCGGGTCGTGCCCCCGGCTGTCTGTGGCATCTGCATCCCTCTGAGCTCCGTGTGGCCCCTGTAGGGCCAGAGGCTGCTCTGGACAGCGTGGAGCCAGGCCTGCAGATAAGCCACTGCTGCCCCACGTGGGGGACTGGGGCTGGCTCAGACACACCCCTGGCCTGCGGACACATCACATCACTCCCAGAGCCCCTGCCTGGGCCCTGGGGCTCGTGGCATCTGCTGCGTGGTGGGTGGGCTTCCCCTACTTCTCAGTCTCAGACTTGCCTGATCCTCCATCTTGGACGTGGTTGGGGAGGGTGGAGTATGTGGGGGGGCAGGGGGGGCGTCCTGAGTGGTGAGACGGGGTGGCGCTGCCCGCCTCTGGATCCCCGTGTCTGGGTCCCCGAGTCTGGTCTCCACATGGCCCTGGGGACAAGCAAAGTCACAAAACCTGTCCTGGGTGAGGGGTCTCTCCAGAGCCCCTCTCTTGTTCTGGTTGGGGTGGGGTGGATTGTTGGTTTCTCTAGATTTCTTTCTTTTTGGGGTTTTCACAAGGAGTGGCTCTGTCCTGGCCACTCCTCCCTCCCCGAACAGAGGGCTTCTGTGGTTGAAGAGTAAAAGGTACATCTGGAAACAGTCTCAGGTTGGAAGGTGCTTGCTGTTAGGACAAGCTGTTATTTATTAAATGACGGTGTTTCAGTATCCCCTTGAGGTTCCTTTGGTCTCTCTAGAGTTGGGGGGCAGGGAGAGGGAGGACCTGGTGGGGCCAGGAGGTATGGGGGACAGGGAATGGGGGTGGGGAGATGGGGAGAGGAGGCTGGGGGTGGGAGGAGGGGTGGGGGGAGATGGATTGGAGGGGATGGTGTGGCGAGATGAGGGGTTCCAGGGAGATGGGGTTTGGGAGGAAGTGGGGGAGGGGAGGTTGGGTACAGATGGGGGTGGGGAGGGGGTGGGGGTTGGGCCCCAGAGGGAGGTCTCTTTAGGAGGAAGAGCCCACCGCCCCCTGGGGTGTCGAGCCTTGGGCACTTCCAAGGTCATGAGGGCACTGAGCCTACCCCACTCCTCAGGGGGCCCTCTTCTTGGGGCTCCTTCCTGGTGCTAAACCCCCTTTCCGAGGGCTCCAGCCATGGCTAAAAGAGGCTGATGTTTTCCCTGGAACTCACTCGGGTTGAGCAGAGGCGTAACTGCACAGTCATAAAGCATTTTCTATGTTTAGTAAGAAAGGCACAGGTGGGGAAAAGTCAGAAAAAATTACATGTTCAGAGTTACGCCAATTAGTATTTTTAACAGGGAAGAGAATATACCAACCGAGTAGGTATTTCAAAATTATGAGGTTTTGGGTTGTTTATTTATTTTTTGAGTTTTCTGTATATTTCAGGTTTCTCATAAAGCACGTTTATTTTGATATTAGAATGTTTTTTAAAAACTAAAAGCTTAAAAAAAAAAGCCTATGTAACATAGGATTTATATCATAATAAAGTTATTAAAAATTTGTTACAGAAGGGGCACCTAGGTGGCTCAGGTCATGGTCTCAGGGTCGTGAGGTCGAGCCCCGCAGTTGGTGGGGAGTCTGCTTGAGGCTCCCTCCTGCCCCTCCCCCCCGCCTCTCTCTCTCTCAAATAAATATTTTTTAAAAATTACAAAAGAAGTGTGCCACAAAGGAACGTGTGTACCGTGTGTACAGGGAGAAGCTGTGGACGTTCCCTGGCGGCCAGGGTCAGTGCTGCGCTTGGTCTCCCCTGCCCCGCCCGGTTCCTGGCACCCGCCTGTGGCCAGGCTTTCAAATGCTGCCATGCCTTGTTCTCTTGCTCCCGAAGGTCTTCTGGCGCCAAGAAGCAGCAGGCCCACGAGAGCTCCAGGCCCTTGTCCATTGAGCGTCCTGGGGCCGTGCACCCTTGGGTCAGTGCTCAGCTCCGGAACTCCGTCCAACCCTCTCACCTCTTCATTCAAGACCCCACCATGCCACCCAACCCGGCCCCCAACCCCCTGACCCAGCTGGAGGAGGCCCGCAGGCGTCTGGAGGAGGAAGAGAAGAGAGCCAGCAAGTTACCCTCAAAGCAGAGGTATGGGGGCTTCAGGGAGAGCAGGCCGCACTCCCTGCTAGGGCCACTCTAGCTTCTGTGGTACTGCTTTGGGGCTGAGGTTTCCCAAGGCCTAAGGCCCCCATGCTGGCCGCCCGCTGGTAGTCCTGGTTTCTTTCCCCCGAGGGCCGCGTGGGGCATGGCAAGCAGCCCTGCTGTGTGACCAGGGTCTGGGAGGGCACGTGGTCGTTACACTGTCCTTCTGGGGACGGAGAGGGGGCCCTCTCTGTTCTGTGAGCGTACTCCTCCCGTGTCTTTGCGGGAGCCCGCGGTGCCTGTCGCCACACAGAGCAGCTAGAGCTTGCCGTCAGGTCACCCTGGCTGCTGTGCAGGCTGAGCTCACAGTGGGTTCCTGGGGTTCCTAGCTGCCTCTGCAGCCCCAGGAAGGGGGGGCCGTAAACTGTGCCATCTGCAGGTAGGATGGTCAGCGTTGCTCGAGTACAGGCAGATGTGAAAGTCTCCTGGAGGGACCCCAGCACCAGAATCCCCCTTGCTGGGGGCACCCCTCTGTGATAGTAGGTCTTCTCTCCAGGCCAGAATGTTGTTTCCCCACTTTTTCAGCTGGACCTTGAGGTCACTTTTCCCAGAGGGATCAGGGTCTCTGAGGGGGGCCTGGAAATCTGCATTTCCCACCCAGCGCCTAGAGCATGGTCACACGGTGGCCCTGTTCTCCTCGGACGTTGCCGGCGCCCTTTGTCCAGTCTGTGGTCGCTGGTCATCCTTCCCAGGGACCTCCCCGTGTGTGGGGCTGTCCAGCTCTGGGGAGGCTTGTGTCAGTGCCTGTCTCATTGGGCAGAGCCCCAAGTCTGAGTGTGTCCCCTGGCCATTGCGGGTAGCCACGTTTATGGCGCCTGTCTCACACCCTGTGATCCTGTCAGCATAGAGCGAGAGAGCCAGCCCGGCACAGGAGGCCTGGGCTGGTGCGGGGGATGCCTGGGGTCTGACGGGGCCGACGGGAGCAGGGGGCCATCTGGGAAAGGGCTGGGGCGTGTGGGTAGGAGGTGCTCTCTCTGCACAGACTGTCCGCAGGATCTGTGTGGGACCGTTGTCCCTGCCATGCTCTGGGGGTGCCGGGCTTGCGTCTGCTCTTCCCACCAGCACCCAGTGGGCCCTGCACCTGCCCTGCTGGCTGGACACACTGCACAGGCACACAAGCCTTCAGGGATGCGTGTTTCGGGCTGTGAGCCTCCTGACGGGGTGTTGGCCAGTGGTTGGCGTCTGCACGTGTTGTCAGGCCAGGGCGTGTAGGCCTTTTGTAAATGGCCACAGACACGAGTGAAGGTCCAAAGACAGCAGTGGGGGTGCTGGGCCGTCCCCACGCTCCTTGTGGGGTGACCCCCCCCCGGTTGGCAGAAGACAAGTCACTGCCAGGGCTGCACAATATCACGCCTGGGGCGGGCAGCCATGTGGAGAGGTGCCGCTGGGCAGCCGGCCCCGGGACAGGCATCCCCAGCTGCTCGGGATGGAGCGGTGTGGAGCGCGGATGAGGAAGAGCTGTGAGCACGAAGGTGGCCAGAGGCAGGCCCTCTGCAGAAGGCCCTTCTCGGTGTGGATGAAGTGACAAGACCCTGGTGCCTCAGAGTGGTGGTTCCCGAGTGTGGTCCCGGGAGCTGTCATCCAGTGAGGAGTCTGGGAACTCTGGATTGACTGAAGCAGCACCAGTCTCCTGACCGGCCCGACGAGCCCTTGATATTCCAGTGCCGTGGTTTGGTGTTTTGTCTGCTCACATAGTAGGAGCCTTGTTTGGTGGTGACGGGCCCTCTTGGGGCCCTGCTCCGTGTGCCGGTCTGTGGCCCCACTGTCACCGCGGAGCCCAGCCCCTGCGGCTCACTCACGTGGTTGTTCCCTAGGTATGTACAGGAGGTCATCCAGCGGGGGCGCTCCTGCGTCAGGCCAGTGTGCACACCCGTGCTGAGCGTGGTGCCAGCCGTGTCGGACTTGGAGCTCTCCGAGACAGAGTACGTGCGCCCTCCGCGGGTCCCGGTACTGCTTACCCAGACCGCGCGCGGGCCAGGCCCGCGGTGGAGCCGCTCTTCCCAGGACAGGATTTGGGGCGCCGCGCTGGAAGAGATGGGGCTGGGCTCAAGCTTCGTGTCTCCATGGAAGGAGACGCAGGCCGTCCTCGTGTGACACGTGGCCTGCCGTGGGCGGCAGGCCGCAGAGGAAGTTCTGCTCTGCTTCCTCCACTCTGGCCACGCCCCCCACCCGCCTTTACTTTCCTGAGCTTCCCGGCTGGCCCTGGGGCTCACTGGTGTGTGACTGGCCGTGTTTGCCCTGGCTCGGCCGCCTGAAAGCGCCTGCCCCGGTGGCGTGGGCGCGTCTGGGTGCTGTGCGCACGCTGAGCCTCGCCCTGTTCTTCTGTGGAACGCAGGAATGCACTGGCGTGTCCGCTCCCCAGGCCTGCGTGGAGCAGCGTGGGTGCTGGGGCCCCCGTGTAGACAGTGCTGGCCGCCCAATCCCTGCACTTCTGCTCAGGACAGAGCAGAAAGAGGGGGTCCCCCAGTTCATCCCAGACCATGCTTTGTCACGTCCAGCCGGATGCCTGAGTGACTCAGTCTCCCCACCAGCTCACTCCTTAAGGGTGGCCTCTGGAGAAGCAGGGACCCCGCCTCCCTTCTGTAGAGAACGGGCCCCAGAGGACCCCCCCACGTGAGGTTGCAGGACTGAAGGAAGGAAAGCAGGCACCCAGGAGCCTGGCTTGAGCAATGGATGGCCACATAGCCCAAGTGGCCGCCTGGTGTGTGCCCAGGAGCACCAGGGAGAGGGAGGGTCCGCAGGGAGAGAAGAGCCCACGTGAGCTCAGATGGTCAGATGGCCTCTTGACAGGACGCCGCACGCCCGGCTGGCAGGGGGCTGGCAGGGGCAAAGGGCCGTGTCCGCGTGCACCTGGGCAGCTCTGGAGCGGTCATGGGGACGAGAGCTCCTGGCCTGCTGAAGGCTGCTGACTGTGGTCACAGACACGGCAGCTGCTCAGCACCTGTCAGGATGCGTGGTCCTGGGCAGGAGACGGTGCTGGCCTCGTGCCCTTCTCTGCAAGTCTGGCTGGCCACTGCCTCTGCTCTTCAGACAGGCGCTCTGCTATGGGGCAGGTCCATTTCCAGATCCGTGCATGGTGCGGTCTGTCTGGCCACTGGCCTTGAGAGGCTTCTGAAGCTTTAGGGCTCTAGGCCTTTCCTAGTATATGGGGAGTGCAGCCCAGCCTAGAGGCGGGAGCTGCATTGGTTCCAGGAGCCTGGCGTCTTAGGATCCACCATGGGTTCTGGCCCTGAGAAGCTTGTTCGCCCACAGTGATGTGGTCTGGGTAGGGGGTGCTGCCCCCCGCCCCCCTGCAGCCAGCTCAGACCACGGGGAGGCCTGAGGCCATGCAGTGGGTGCAGGAGGGTGGTGGGCAAACCAAGGCCCTGGCTGCTGTGGGGCAGGTGGGCGGGCGGATGAGAGATGAGCTGGTGTCCTTGCTGTGGATCTGAGAGAACATGGGGCCGGCTCAGGTCCGGCACCTCGGGATGGGACACCGCATGGAGTGAGGCCCCCAGGGGCTGGACGTGGCGCTCCGGGCGAGGGGGTGTCAGGGCCTTCACACACGAGGCGTTGAGGATGGCAAGGCCCACTGTCTGGTCCTTGCTGAGTGTTTCCTGGGGTCCTGAGGCCCTTTGGGGTGTGTCCTGTGAGACCCCGAGCCCAGCAGTCATCACTGCTCCTCTGTCTCCAGGACGAAGTCCCAGCGGAAGGCGGGCAGTGGGAGTGCCCAGCCGTGTGACAGCATTGTGGTGGCCTACTACTTCTGCGGGGAGCCCATCCCCTACAGGACCCTGGTGCGGGGCCGTGCAGTCACCCTGGGCCAGTTCAAGGAGCTGCTGACCAAGAAAGGCAACTACAGGTGAGAGCCGAGGGGCTGGCTAGGGGCAGGGGACCCTGCATGTGGTCACTGCACGTGTTCGGTGTCGGCTCCCAGCAGTTGGGCAGCAGGGTCTGCCGCTCACATGAGGAGGGTGGGGCCACCGGGCCTGGAGAGGAGGGCACAAGGCTCTCGTCTCCTCTCGCCCCTGTCCTGCAGATACTACTTCAAGAAAGTGAGCGATGAGTTTGACTGCGGAGTGGTGTTTGAGGAGGTTCGGGAAGACGAGACCATCCTGCCCGTCTTTGAGGAGAAAATCATTGGCAAGGTGGAGAAGGTGGACTGACAGGTGGGCCTGGCCTCTGTGCCGGGTTGGGCCTGCGTCTGTCAGGGGCTGGGGCCACACGCAGAGCGTCAAGAGGGTCGTGCTGTGTTGTGTGCTTCACGCAGCTGCTGGGAGAAGGCCAGGTGCTGCCTGCCCCGCAGCCGGCCTCCTCTTGGGTCCATCTGTGTGCAGATGGGCGGGGGTCCCTTTGTGTGGTCCCACAGGCCTCCACCCTGCAGCTGACAAGGAGGGTGCCCTGTCCGCTCCTCAGTGATACTCAGTCCGCCTGAGTGGGGAGCCCGCCATGGCGCCGCATTGAACACCCTCTCCAGCGGTGCCCCGCTGCTGACGGCGGGCAGACGCACCCACTCCTCGGCCCTGGCGCTCACACCGCAGGCTCTGCCCCTCCTTCTGGGACTTGTCCGCCACACGGTACCCCGGTCAGGCCTGGCCTGGGCCTAGGGCGCCAGGGGCCCTGTGGGGGCCTCTGTAAATTGTACATGTCACCGAGTGCCTTCGACACAGCTTGTCTCTTGCCTGCCACTGTGTGGATCCGGTGATGGAGCCCCTTAGCGCTCTCCCTCCTCCACCCTTGTTTCCAGAGCGCTGGCTTAGCGGGTCCCGGGCCCCTCCCCTCTAAGGGCCCATGTAAATATGTACATTTCTCAGGCCAGGGCCAGTGGGGGCTGCCCCTGCCCATTTTTCATGCGCTGACTTGTACAATTATCTTTTCAAAGGTACTTGGATAATAATGAAATAAAATCATTTTTGAACCTTCTCTGGCTGTGGAGTGTACCTGTCTTCTGTGATGGGACCTGGCTGGATGGCCTGCCATCCCCTGCAGGCCTCGGAGGGTTAAATGTGTGTGTGTGTGTGTGTGTGTGTGTTGGAGGGTCTTCTGGAGGCACGGGGACAGAGCTCTGGAGAGGGGTGGGTTCCCAGACTCAGATCTGAGTCAGGAATCTACCCAAAAGGGATGGGGGCAAGGGCTAGGCCATACTCAAGATGGAACGGGGCCCAGGAGGCTATCTGGCTAACCCCAAGGGCCAGGCGGCCAGGCGTGCTCAGGAACCACACACACAGTCTAGGACCAAAGCTCTTTCTTTATTCACTGCCCAGCTCCCAGGGCACTGTTGTGGGGGCACCAGATGGCGATGGGGGGGCAGCTACAGCTCCTCTTTGGGCTCTGTGGTGGAGTTGGCAGGTGTCTCCTGGAAAGGGTCACAGAGGCCCAGCTTGAAGCTGCACCCTTGGTTCACCCCTACCCCTGGCAACCCCAGTGCCACATGTCAGGCTTGTCCAGAGAGTGGGAACCTTGGGACAGAGGCACCCACCGGGTCGGGGGCTGTGGGTTCCCCTGCAGGCTCCTCTGCAGGCAGCTTGCCCCCATTGTCCAGGAACTTGGAGAAGGTCTCCAGGTCCCTAGTGCTCTTGTATTCAATCACCTGAGGAGGGACACCAGGTTCTGGAGAATATACCCCACTCAGCCCTACCCTCCGACACCCCATGTAGGCTCCACCCTCAAGCCGGGCCCTACCCCCAAGCCCACACCCTGCCTCGAGGCCCCGCCCACCGGCGCCCCGCCCCTCGAAGCCCTGCCCACCCGAGGCCACGCCCTTCGAGGCCCGGCCCCGTCTCCTGCCACCGCCGGAGGAACGTGCTGACCAAGCCCCCGGGTCCCGCCTCACCTTCCGACCCGGCCCCGCTGGGAAGTATTTGAGGGTAGGGAAGCCGTGCACAGGGAAACCCTCCAGCTCATTGGCTGTGGCGTCCAGCTCTGCGATGATGATGTCCTCGTGGTCCTTGTACTTCTCGGCCAGGGCCTCCCAGGCCGCAGCCATGTCCTTGCAGTGGGTGCACCACGGGGCGTCTAAGGCAGCGGCGCGTTGGCACAGCCAGCAGGGACCCCCAACTGCCCACTGCCCCCCACCCACTGCCTTCCACACTCACAAAACTTGATAAACACGTTCTTGGTTTCATCGAAAGCCACCTGCTCAAAATTCTTGCCCACGAGGGTCTTGACCGGCCGCTGATCCCAGTTGGGGGGCACCTCCTGGCTCAGGAGGTAGGGCTGGGGGGACGGGGCCAGGGGCTCCAGTGGCGATCTCCCCTGGGAACCGCTGCTCCCACCCCCCACTCCCCGGGTGGGCAACTCAGCAGCAGACCTTGACGTGGCCCCCGAGGACGGCGTGGCAGAATGTGGTGATGGAGGCCGCGGTGACTGGCCCGCCATCCGCAGGCGCATACTTCTTGGTGGTCTCAATGTTGATGAAGCGCAGGGTGGGGGCCTCCTCGGCCTTCAGACCAAAGTACTGCAGCACGTGGTCATTGTCGGCACCCACGTCCACCACCACGAACAGCACCTGCCAACAGGGAGTCTGTGGTGGGCAGCCCACCTCCCTACCACCCCCTCCCTGCCCCGGGCCAGCCAGTACCTGTCCCCGGAACGGGGGAGCTGCCTCCCCAAAGCCCACCAGCAGCTCCTGGTGCTGGGCCAGCGTCTGGTTGACGAACAGCAGCAGGTGGTTGAGGATCCTGGCCGCGAAGATCTTCGGAGAGGTCTGCGAGGGCAGGCTGAACTGACGGGCGCTGGCTCCCACAGACACGCCCCCACCCCTGCCACTGCTCCTACAGCCCAGCTGACCTGGCTGTTGAACTCCGTGACCAGGTGCATGCTGTGCATGAGGAGGAAGTGCGACAGGTCCCCCTGGTCCAGGCCCAGCTCTTCGTCCACTGGGAAGTCGGCCCGACCCTCGTCAAACTGGACGGCACTGGGTCGGTCAGCAGGAGCCACAGCCCTGACCCCCAGCACCCACCTTGGCCCTGTGACCCACCTTCTTGAAAAGGACCACGGTGTCCTTGGTGAGGCCAAACTTCTGAAAGAGCTTTGGCTGGTCGGTAAGGCCAAAGGTCATGTCCAGGGCGTCCTGGGCCAGGGCCAGGAAGGTAGCCACATCCTCATCCTGTAGGTCCTAAGGAGCCCAAGCCTGTGAGGTCAGCTGGCACCACAGGCCCTGCTCCCATGGCCTGGACCCCAGTGGCACCAGCTCACCTGGAAGAAGCCAATGACCACAACATCCCGGCCATCTATCAGTGCTTGGGCGCCCTCTTCATCCTCCAGCCGGGTGGCACTGGGCCCCAGCCTCCGCCTCAGCCACTCAGCGATGCCGTCGGCCTCCCTGGGGCCTGTGAAGAGTCCCCTCAGCCTGGGCCCAGCCCAGCCCCGCCCCTGCCCGCCGGTGCCTGCTGCTGGTACCAGAGTACTCCTCCGGGTGTGTGCGGTTCCCGTCACGGAAGAACTTGAGCGTGGGGTATTCCGTCACAGCAAACTCCTTGGTCAGCTCTGCCTCGGCGGGCCCGTCCACCTTGGCCAGCCTGGCTTTGGCGGACTCTGCCGCCAGCAGGGCAGCGGCCTTGCTGTATTCAGGGGCCAGTGCCTTGCAGTGCCCACACCAGGGGGCATCTGGGGGATAGGGTCATGAGCGCCCCGGGCCTCCGTGGCCCCAGCCTTAGCCCCGGCTCCCGCCCAGCTGGAGCTGGGAGACCTTGGCGTCAGTCAGATCTGGCAGGGAGCATTCCTGTCCACACACCCCGCTCCTTCGGGGGCCCATCTGAGCCTCTGCCCCAGAGCCAGACTCCCCAAGGCCCCAAGTCGGGGGGGCAGTGGCGGCCCCATCCTGCCAGCGTGTTTGAGAAGAATCCTCCAGCTGCCACTCCCTGAGGCCGGCAGCCTGGCCACCTGTGTCCGCTTGTGGAAGCCTGCAACCTAGGAATGGCTTTCCCATGTGTAAACGTTTGTAAAAATCTACAGAATGAGCAGGGCCTGAATGCTATCTGGCCCCTTACAGAAAGAGTTTGCAGACGGACGATGATCAAGGGTCTTCCCTGCACCTGCACCTCCCTCCCCAGTCCCATCCTCCCCTGCTCAAGCTGCACGACATCCCCCCCAGGCCAGCTCAGTCCCAGGGCTTTGCTTCCAGGAGCACGGTGGGGGCCGAGTGCTCAGTGGGGAAGCCCTCTCACTGCACAAGCCCTGGACCCCCAGGGTGGGGGGCTGAGCCCCCTGGGCGGCCCCGGGGGGTCCTCCAGCCCACCGGCCCCGTGCACTCACAGAATTGCACCAACAGCGAGCGGTGCTTCCGCAGGGCCGAGCCCAGGTTGCGCTGGCTCAGCACCAAGATCCCATCCTCCTCAGGGACCTCCTCCTCGGGGGGCTCTTCCTCGGGCTCCCCCGGCCCCGGGCCCTGTCCCCACAGGACTGAGGCCCCAAGTAGCAGCAGCAGCGGGAGCAGGAACTGGCCGTCCATGGCAGTGCCGGGCCCACGAGGCAGGGGGCAGATAAGGGGGCCGGGGGCCAAGCTGCAGCTGCCACGTGGCGCCCAGTCCTAGTCCCAGGAGGATAAGGCCACAAGGCTCCCCCCACCCACCCCGGGGGAGGGGAGGCAGACAGAAGCAACACCCAGGGCACTGAGACAAGGCGACTTTAATAGGACTGTCTGGGGCACAGTGCCAGCCCAGGGAGGGGGCGTCCCAGGACGGAGCAGAGGGTGTGGGGGGTGTGATCAGTGACTGAGGGGCAGGGAAAAGCAGGACCCCGAGTGGGAGGACAGCCCCTGGGGTGGGAGGCGTTCAGCTCTTCCAGTCTTGGCAGATGTGGAGGCCCCACTCCCAGGACAGGTGGTCTGTCCTGTCGTCATCCGTGAAGAAGGACGTGACCACATAAGCACCCCGCACCAACACTCCTCGAGGCACTTCCTCCACCGGGGTCACAAACTCATACTCCTGGGCGCTTGGGCCGTAACTGCCCACCATGTACACGGCCTTGTCCACTGGGGGAGGGGGAGGCTGTCAGGGGCCATGCTCTGCCCCACCTGACCCTCCCCACAGCCCCCCCCCCCCGGGCCAGCCCCGCCTTGCCGCCCTCACCACGCAGGCCCTGGCGGTAGGTGTGATGCAGACACTTGAGGCCACTGACGATCTCCTTATTGACCTGGGGGACAGAGAGTGTTAAGGGCCCCTCTGGGGGGCTGACCTTGAGCTGGCAGGCATCCCCCATGACAGCTACCCTCACCTTGAAAGTAATCTTCACTTTGTAATCAACACCCTCCTTCAGGACAAACACCTGGTTTTTCAGCTCGGCCAGCTCCCCTGTTAGGGAAAGTGCAGCTAGGGAATGACCTCCTGGGATATCACAGACCCTGCCCCAGGAGCCCCAAGGGGGGCAGTACCTGTGAGGTCCATGGTGATGGGCCCTGGAGCCTGCTCAGACATCAGCGTCAGCCTGGTCACCTGCACATTGGGCAGGCTCAGGTCTGGGGAAAAACCGGAAGTCACCAGAGTGCTCTCCCTGGCCTTCGCCCCTCCCCTCCCCTCCCAGCCCAGGGCTGTGCATACCCGTGACAGGGGGCAGGGGCCCCAGCAGTGCCTGCTTGTACTTGGCCAGGCTCTCATCATCCGGGTCCAGCTGCTGGATCTCCTGGAGGCTCTTCCTCCCTGGGGCCCGGTACTCAGGCACAGCCTCATCCAGTGCCTCGTCAGGGGGCAGCTGTCTCCCCTCCTTGTCAGTCAGGAGGACTGGGGGTTGGGGAGGTGCGTGAGCCGCTGCCACCAGCGGACCCCGGCGTTCACTCATCATACTGGAGGCCCCCCATCTGGCCAGCTGTGCTGCTCACGGCCCACAGGAACTCAAAGGAAGCAATGGAGGCTCAGGGAGAGAGGTGGGGGTTAGGGAAGGGGATGTGCGCTCAGAGAGGGAGTGCTGCATGGGGGCTCAGGGAGAGGGGTGGGCTGGGAAGAGACTGAGCAGCACCCACACCCGAACCCTTTAGGAAGGGCCCTGGGGGTTGGAGAAGGTTCCTGAGAGATGGAGCCAAGTGACATCCCTGAGGCACCAGCTGCCTTCTCTGGCCCAGCCATCCATCTAGGGCTCCTCCCTGACTCTGAGGCCAAAGATGGGGCGGCACGGGGGCAGACCCTAAAAGGGGGATAGCCCCAAGGACTGGAGGCCACTACTGTGGACCGCTGACCTCCAGGGTCTTCCCTAGAGCAGAGGCTCTGCCCACTACATCTCTTCACATCTCTGTATACCTTCCCACTGTCCTAGGGGTTCTTGCCGGGGGTGCTCCTGGGTCGTAGAGGCGGTTCTCTCTAAATCCCTCAGCTTATGCTCTGGGGCTACCTCCCTGGGTGCCTTGAGACTCAGTCTCCTAGAGCCCCTTGCCATGATGCCCTGGGGCAGGGGTCTCTCTAAGCCCGTTCCCATAGTGTTTTGGGACAGGGTCTTTCCGACTGTGCGCCAGGCTTCTCAGGGATCACCACACGCCCTGAAGGAGCCCCAGCCCCACCCAAGGGAGAGGAGATCTCAGGAGCAGGTTCCCAAGGGGAGAGGGTCCCCCTGCAACCCTGGCTTCACAAACAGACCCGCCCACTCTTGGCTCCTTTGCCCCGAGTATCTGGCCTGGACGAAGCCCCCCACCCCCGACAGAGCCCAGTAGGGGGACCGCGCCAGGATTTCCCCACGCGCGCCCCCAAAGTTTCCGCGGGGGAGGCCCAGCCCCCGCCCCAGGCTGAAGCCTCCCCAACCCCCCACCCTCCACCCTCCCTGTCCCAGACCCCCGCCCACGTGGCCACCCTGGCCCCAGCCCAGCCTGCTCACCTCGGGCGCACAGCGCCAGCCGGAGCAGCTCCAGCAGCTGCGCCCCCAGCTCACATGCGTCCAGGCCCAGCATGGTGGCCCGCGGCCCGGCTCCGCCGCGGAGCCGCCGAGGAGCCGCCGCCCGCCCCGCCGCCGCCCGGCTCGGCGCTCAGCCCCGGCGCGACTGCGGTGAGCTCATCCCGGCCGGGAGCGCCCCCCGCGCCCAGCGCCGCGCCCGCGCCGCGCGCCCCCAGCCACTCCGCGGACCCCGCGCAGCCCCGCAGAGACGCGCGTGTCGCCCGCACGGCGCCGGCACCTGGTCGTCCCCGCCGCGGGCGCCCCAGAAGCCCGCACAGCCACCGCGGTGACGGTCCCAGCCGCCGGCCCAGGCTACACCCCGCTCTGTCCATCAGAGCGGCCCCTCCCCCACGGCGCCCGTGAGAGTCTGGGGGATTCTCCGGGGAAGCCCTCTGGGAGGGGCGGGTGGGGCTGGGGGCGCCCAGTGGAGCAGGTGCTCCCCGCCTCCCCCAGGCCCCTAGGCTCTCATTACCTGCAGGCGGTACAGGCCGCACTTGGGGCTCGACAGGTTCCCCTCCCTTCCCCACCCCCACCGGATCTTCTGTCTGGGCAGTGGGGACTCCTGGAGTCTGCCCAGCCTTGGGAGCTGCGGGATGCGGATGGGGGTGAGTGTCTGCGCAGCCTTGTGGCTCCACATCCCGGAGGCGTTAGCACAGAGAGACCTGTGTCCACATCACCCAGAGACAAGGGTCCCACCCTCCTAGTGAGATGCAACATGGAGTCAGTCACACAGCCATTAGTCTAATGTTTATGGACTGGGCTGCGTGGGTGTGCTGCAGGTCTCTGGGCGGTTACACCCAGACCATAATGAAGCACCCTGTCCTTGAGGAGGAAAGGACACTGATCCAAAGCAGAATCCTGGTGGGGGAGGGCTGAGGGGCACAAAAGGGGCTTCTGGTCTTGATGCCTAAGCAAACCTTGGGGTGGGCAGATGGGGGCAGCCAGTGCAGGGAACAGGGGTGAGCTGTGCGTCAGGCTGGGGACGGCCGGATCAAGGGTCTGAGTGGAGGAGGTAGAATACCAGACCAAGTCCCCCTTTCTTCTGTATACTCCTTCTGCCCCCCCATTTCTAAGGACACCTAGGCATCATACTACCTTTTGCATAAAACAAGAGGGAGAGGGTCCCCCTGCCACCCTGGCTTCACAAACAGATCCCCGTCCACTCTTGGCTCCTTTGCCCCTGAGTATCTTGCGTGGACAAAGCCTCCCTACCCCCACCAGAGCCCAGTCAGGGGACCGTGTTATGATTCCCCCACCTGTACCCCCAAAACTTCTGCAGAGGAGGGCCATGGGTGCTAGGGGACACATGGGCTTGGTGTCCATCCCCCTTGGAGTTCCACCTGTCCACAATCTTTCCAAGGCAGGATTCCCTCATTTCTGCTGCCCTTTCCCCGGGGGTGGGGATGGGGGGTAGTTGGTCCAGAAGCCACTTGTTGAGGCTGGGGACAGCTATGGCCTCTGGTGGCCCTCAGCTTCTGTAGATACCCACCCATCCAGAAAGGACCGTCAGGCCTGGGACCAGCCTGACCCCACCTGTGTGGGTGGGGATGGTTGGGAATTCACTGGGATCTAAGGAAGGATGGTACCCTGATAGAGGTAGCCCCCAATCCGGTCCCCCTGCCCCAGCTCATCCTGGACCTGGCCTTGTCAGCAGTAGAAATGGATCAGTCTAAGGCTGTAAGCCAAGGGCCACCCCCATCTATCCTGCCCTGTCCCCAGCACCCCCAGAGGGAGGAGAGGAACTCTATTTCCAAAAAAGCAGAAATAGACCTATTTGAACTTCTTAAAAATGGGGGCGCCTGGGTGGCTCAGTTGGTGAAGCATCTGCCTTCGACTCAGGTCATGATCTTGGGGTCCTGGAATCAAGTCCCATGTGTTTGGGCCCCCTTTCAGTGGGGAGTCTGCTTCTCCCTGTCCTCTGCCCCGGCTCATGCTCTCTCTCGCTATCTCTCAAATAAATAAAATCTTAAAAAAAAAAAAAAATTGTCCAGCAACAGGGCTGTGGGGTGGTAGTGGCCAAGCTGCTGGAGCAGGGAGAGAAAGGGCCAGGACAGGGCCCTGAGCCTAGAGGATGCAGGTGCACCATGAGTGTGTCTGGAGGTGGGGGCTGGGGGGTGGGCGCTCAGAGCCTCTCTCTCCATAAAGCTCTTCTCCCAGTCTCAGATGTCCTGCATCTGTGGAGTCTCTGCCTGTTCCCCAACTGGTCCTGCCCACGTGTCCGTGCAGCTGGGGGAAGTGAGCTTTCTGCCATCCCCCCAGGCCTCGATGGACCTGCACAGCCCTCCAGTGTCACACCAGCCTGCAGGCGCTGACACGGTGTGACGTCCGGCGTCCCAATAACAAACACACTCCTGCGGCACACAAACCCGCGCCCTGACTGCACAGCCCCCTCCACCACGAGTGTGGCCTGATCCCGAGGAGGCCACACAGGGGCTGGCTGTGCGAGGCAGGTGCTACCGGTGTCCCCCTCCCCACCCCCCCCTCCCCCACAAGGAGCCTCTCCTAGAGACCCTCCTCTCCCTGAGCCCCCCCACCTGTCCCAGCTGAGCTGCGATTCCCTCACAGTCCCCCACACCAGCCGGGGGCGGGGCCCCTCCCACGGGCCTCAGTTTCTCCTGACGCGGGGGGAGACTCCTCCAGACTCCAGACCCCACACCGTGCGGGCGCTGAGGCTCACACGGCCGGGGGCCGGCGGGGCTGCGGAGCCGAGCTAGCGGGGCGAGCTGGGCGGGGCGTGCGGGCCGGGGGCGGGGCGTGCGGGCCGGGGGCGGCTCCACACCCACGCGCCATCTGGCCTCACCGCCGCCATGGCCGGCGGACGCCGGGGTGTGCAGATGCCGCATCTCAGCAAGGTGGGTGCTGGGTGGGGGTCCCGCCGTCCCCCGCCCCCGGATTTCCCGGCATGCGAGGCCGGGAGCGGCAGAAGAGGGGTGGGTGCGGGTGCGCACGAGTGTGGACGCGGGTCTGGGGGCGATGGCACTGTGTGAGGCGGGGCGAGGCGGCGGAGGCCGGGGCTGGGGGGGGAGGGGAGCGGCCCTCGCCTCCGCCCCTCCCCCTCCCCCGCTCCTCCGCTGCCCGCCGCGGCCCCAAATCCCACCATCATGCGCGTTAATCTTCTCTGAGCTCACCGATCCCGGGCATCCCGGCCCGTTGCGGGGAATCAGGATGTGGGGGTGGGGGGAGGCCGGCCGGAACAGCCCCTCAAGGCCCCCCTTCGCTCAGATGGAGCGGGTGGTCGTGAGCATGCAGGACCCCGACCAGGGCGTGGAGATGCGGAACCAGCGCCTGCGCATCACCGTCATTCCCCACACCGTGGCTGGTGAGGCGCCGCCGGGTCCGGGGTTGGTGGCGGCCCTGCCTCGCCTACCCCTGCCCCATGCCAGTCTCTGGTGTGCAGGCAGCGACGTCGTGGACTGGTTGGTCCAGAAGTACTGCATCTCAGAGGAGGGTAAGGGGGTTATCCTGCCCCCTGCCCTCTGCCCCGGGGTCGCTGTGCTGATGGCCAAGGCTGGGCCTGCTCAGGGCTCACAGGTGTTAATGTTGAGCCAAGTGCACTGGGGAGGGAGAGCTCCCAAATTGCTTCTCCCAGGCTTAGCGCTCGCCACCCTGCCCCTCCCGCCAGAGGCCCTGCACCTGGGCACCCTCCTAGTGCAGCACGGCTACCTATACTCTCTGCGCAGCCCCCGCAGCCTTGTGCTCCGGCCAGACGACACACCCTACAGATTCCAGGTCAGGTGCAACTGGGAGCAGGTGGGAACCCCAAACCAGCAGCCCCGCTAGAGGGGACTTGTGGAAGGGGGGAGACTGAGTTTGGAGTAGGAAGTGGTGATGTCATCACAGGCCTGGGTCCGCTGCCCCTCCCCGAAAGGCCTGGACTATGAGTGTCCTGTGGTAGAAAGACCCGATTAAGGGGAGAGACCTTTAGTTTCTCTGAGGCCACAACAGGGCCTCCATAAAGGGTATAGTACTTGTGGAGGATTCTGATGGTTTCCCTGAGAGTCCTTAAGCCCCCGCTCATGAATAAGTCTGTGTGGTACCTGAGGACAGGATCCTGGCATCTCACTGTGTATCCCTAATCACGGTGGAGCTCCCCTGCCTGGCCTCGTGGCTACAACAGGGACCCAGGCAGGGTTTGCTCTCAGTCCTCACCCACAGTCCTCAGCACAGACTGAGTACATGCATGACTTGGGCAGGCCCCACCCCACCCCACCAGGCAGTAGGGACTCAGGGAGCCCAGTCAAGGAGGCAGTGCCTGCACTGGGCCCCAAGGGGTGAGCAGAACTCAGTTCCAGGTGGGGAAAATGGCCAGTGGTCTGTGAATCTCCAGGCTGTGGGCAGACAGGCAGGTTCTGAGACACCGCCTGGCCAGCCCACCCCCTTCCCAAGGGATCTGGGAAGGTGGACAACTCCTGGGGTGGGGAAGGCCCAGGAGGTCCCGGACACCCTGTCCCTGCACCATACCAGACGCCCTATTTCTGGACGAGCACCCTGTGGCCAGCTGCTGAGCTGGACTATGGTGAGTGAGGAGGAGTGGGCTCTAACCCGGGACAAGTTCCTAGCACTGTTGCCCTCCCACCCGAGTGATGCCACAAGGGTCGAGGGGCAGAGATTTTTCCTCTGCAGCCTGGCCCCCTGTCCTTCCAGCCATCTACCTGACGAAGAAGAACATCCGAAAGCAGGGGGCCCTGGTCGGCCACGAGAAGGTGGGACCCTCCTGCCCCTCGGCTGAGTCCAGCCAGAGGAACCCAAGTCCTGCTCTTGGCCTCTTGGCTCTGGGGCCTCACAGTTTGCCCTGGAGCACATAGCCTAGGCCCCAGGAGAGTGCAGACACACAAACACGTCATCCCTATGTGTCTCAGCGGGGAGGTGGGTGGTCTGCACCCCCAAGCTGGACACAGGAGGGGTTACCCAGTGGAGACCTCGACATCCCCCAGGAACACTATGACCAGCTACACAGGAAGATCAACCACACGTGGGACCTGGTGGTGATGCAGGCCCGAGAGCAACTACGGTAAGATCTTGCCCTGCTCACTCGGAGTGGGCACTGCCCGGGAGGCCCAGGAGTACCACACCGGGCACTGTGGGGCCAGAGACACCATTGCCCAGGCTTGGCTCCCCACCAGGCTCTGGTCTGAGGGTGGGGAGGGGGTGGGGAGGTGCTACGGTGGGCGCCATGTCTCCCCCAATTCCACCCCCCCCAGGGCAGCTAAGCAGCGCAGGAAGGGGGACAGGCTGGTCATTGCATGTCAGGAGCAGACGTACTGGCTGGTGAACAGGCCCCCGGTAAGCTCCCCTGTGTGTGGGGAGAGGGGGGTGTGGTTTCTTGTTCAGCAGTGGGGTCTTGCTGGGAGTCTGTGTGCCTCCCTCAGATGCTGTCTCTGGACCTACATTTTGAGCCTGTGGTAAGGATGGGGCTTTCGGGGTCCCAGCAGGAAGTTCTCGTTCTGGGACCCATCGGAACCCAGAGATCGCAGGGCCAATCCACACAGCACAACAAACCAGTTTCTTTGAGGTCTAAGGGAGGAGGCAAAGTGGAGCCAGGCTTATCCACAGCATCAAGGGACTGGGGTCACAGGCCAAGAACTTCTGGGGGCACTGGCCTGGAGTTAGGCCTTATCCAGAGCCATGGTCTGGGCAGGTGGTTTGCAGTCCCCCGGCTGTGTGGGGCTGTGGAGCCGTCAGATCTACCATGAGTGGGGGTTCCTGTGGGAAAAATCCGTGAATAAAAACAGAGCGAGTCACCCACAGGTCCAGCACCTCACCCGGGGTGTGTGTGTGGGGGGGGGTGGCTGTCTCTGGGAAAATAATGGCTCATCTTGCGCCTGAGGGCCAGGTGGGTGGGTGGGGGGAGGAAGGTGGGGTGGACGTGGCCCCAAGGGTGTGTATGTGGGCTGAGGGCAGGGCCATGCAGGGCGAGGGTCCAAGTGGAGGGGACTCTGGGAACGGCAGCTGGAGCTTCCGGGGCAGCGGGCATAAGGGCTGCGCCCTGGGCCGCGGTGAGGAAGAGGCCAGACCAGCATGTGTATTTGAGGTCAGGGCAGCAAGATGCGTGGCAAGTGACCGTTTCAAGACGGGTGGTGAGAGGGGTGCCTGGTTGGCTCAGTTAGTGGAGTCAACTCTCGGTCTTGGGGCTGAGTTTGAGCCCCACTGGGCACACAGCCTGCTTTAAAAAAAAAAAAAAGAAGGATGGTGAGGGTTGTGGTGTGAGCAGTCAGGAGCCCAGCAGGGAGGTGAGCTCGCCTAAGGGGAGGTCCCCGCAGGTGTGGGACAGGTAGAGAGGAGGATCAGCCTCTGCAGTTCCTCCGAATGTCATTCTCCGTGTTACAGGATGACGTGCGGGTGCAGAGCTTCAGTTTATGGAGGCGGGTGGGGGGCAGGAACACAAGGCTGGGTTGGGTCTCAGCAGCCCACCTGGGCCGTACCCCCACCTCATCTCGGCCTTCCGTCTGCAGCCAGGTGTCCCCAGCGTCCTGGAGCAGGGTCCAGAGCGCAGTTCCTGCACAGCTGGGCGAGTGCAGATGGTGAGGGCCCTGCACACATGCCCCCAGGCCACTCCCCGCCACCCCTGCATACATGTCTCCCCACCCCAACGTGGGGGCTGCCCATCGGTCCGTCCATCCATCCATCCATCCAAATGGCACTTGACCCTGACACCAAGAGGCCCTGCTCTGCTCCTGGCATTACTCACCCCTGCCTACACCCCCACTCCCAGGCCTCTGCTAACTCTCACTTCTTGCCTCCCCAACCTGCTACACTGGGTACAAGTAAGTGTGATGGGGCTCTGGGAAGGGTGGGAGCTCTTGCCCAGGCTGGGACAGCCCCAGGGTCCAGGGCAGTTGGAGATGTGCCCAGCAGAGCCATGGGCCTGAGAGGCCTGGGCTGAGCCAGCCACCTCCCTCCAAGGCCTCTGGTGGCCGCTGGACGGACATGTCCAGACCTGGTAGCAGCTGAGCCCTCTGTTCCAATCCCACAAAACCCAAAATATACAATATCTAGTGCCTTCCAGATAAAACTTCTTCCTGACTTTTAAGTTGTAGTTCACGATCACAGGTTTGTAATTTCCTCATTATAAGGTCGGCCAAAGAGAGCCAAGACTAACATTGGAGATCCCAGGCATCCTGAGCAATTTGTGGGTGTTGGGAAGGGTCAGCCTGTCACCTGGCCCTGAGGATGCGGCAGGCACGCTCTGAGCTCTGAACAGGATGGGATAACCTTGAGCACAAGTTAGCAAGACTAAGTCCCCCATGGTGATCCTGTGGCCGTATCTCTCATGTGTCTGCTGGTTTTTGTTTTTTTTTTTTTTTAGATTTTATTTATTTATTTGAGAGAAAGAGTGAGAGAGAGAGAGAGCATGAGAGGAGGGAGGGTCAGAGGGAGAAGTAGACTCCCTGCCGGGCAGGGAGCCCAATGTGGGACTCGATCCCGTGACTCTGGAATCATGACCTGAGCAGAAGGCAATCACTTAACCAGCTGAGCCACCCAGGCGCCATATCTGCTAGTTTTTTTAAAAAATGACCTAAATACATTTGAAAATGTGAAATAGGGACAACTGGGGAACTGTAAGGTACTTTGACAGTGTGTGGGCCCCATGGAACATTCTGGAAACCTCTGCACTAGAGGCCTCCAGATACTTTTTGGAAAGCCAGACGCCTCCATTAGAGGAGGGGGCTTCAAGGGGCAAGGCGGGGTCCTGAGCCATTTTCCACCAGCCGAAGGATGGACTCATGAGCCCAGGGTGGGTGGTCAGTCCCCACAGGGCCTGCCTTCTAACTGCAGCCCATTTGGCCCCTTTCAGACCAAGAATATGGAGTTCTACAAGCAGGAGGTAGGTCCTAGGGGTGGGTGGCAGGGAGGGGCCTGGGCTGGCTGACCTCCAGCCCAGGCCCCACCTCATAGGCCTCGCGTCCTAGATGGAGCGCTGCAGGAAGGCCCTGACCAGGGCCCGGGTGAAGTCCTCCATCTGCCTCGAGGCGTGAGTGGGCTGGGGGGCCCAGAGCGCAGACCCTTCCCCAAGTGCCCGTGTCCCCACGGCCTCTCCCTGCACTGGCCCCTGGCACCTCCCCCCACCCCCTAGGTACCTGAAGTTCAGCAGCCAGCATGGGCCACACGACCCCATCATGTCAGGGTGCCTGCCCAGCAACCCCTGGGTCACAGATGATGACACCTACTGGACCATGAATGCACCCAGGTGAGCCCAGGGTGGGCAAGGGGCACTGCTCCCCACCCTTCCGTCCCACCGGCCCATTCCTTGTGCTCCTGACCAGCCCTTCCGTGTCCCCTCAGCGTGGCTGTGCCCACGAAGCTCCGCGTGGAGCGATGGGGTTTCAGCTTCCAGGAGCTCTTGGAAGACCCTTTGGGACGGGCCCATTTCATGGACTTCCTGAGGACCGAGTTCAGTGGTGAGAGGCCCTATGCCCTGCTCGAGGGCCCTGGGAGGGCACTGCTGCTGAGGACCCTCCGGGTTTCTGCCAGCCCTGGCCACGGCTCGGGTGGGCCTCACCTGGCGTGTGGACCTCCAGCTGAGAACCTCAGCTTCTGGGAGGCCTGTGAGGAGCTGCGCCACGGAAGGCAGGCCCAGGTCCACGCTATGGTGGACTCTGTGTACCAGTGAGTGCCGAGGGGTGGGGACCGGCCGGTGGCGGGCGGGCGTGTGGAGCCCACACCCACTGGGCCTGTGTCCTCTCCCCCTCCCGCCGACACAGGCAGTTTCTGGCCCCTGGTGCTGCCCGCTGGGTCAACATCGACAGCCGGACGATGGAGCGGACCCTGGAGGGACTGCAGCAGCCCCACCGCTACGTGCTGGATGATGCCCAGCTGCATATCTACATGCTGATGAAGAAGGTGGGCGTGCGGGCCCGGAGAGCGTGGCAGTACCCTGCCCCGTGGGGGCCAGCCCCTCCCCACTGCTCTCCAGTCCACACCTGCAGCTTAGGCTCTCCCTTACAGAGGAGTAAACTGAGGCTCAGAGGGCGGAGGGCTTGCCCCAGCCTCTTGCTTAAGGAGAGGTCCAGTTGTGATTTTAAAAAGTATTTTAACGTGGGGGCGCCTGGGTGGCTGAGTTGTTAAGCGTCTGCCTTCAGCTCAGGTCATGATCCCAGGGTCCTGGGATCGAGCCCCGCATCGGGCTCCCTGCTCGGCGGGGACCCTGTTTCTCCCTTTCCTGCTCCCCCTGCTTGTGTACCTGCTCTCGCGTTCTTTCTCTCCGTCAAATAAATAAATAGGATCTTAAAGAAAAAAGTTAATGGAAAATTCCAAATGTAAACAGAAGTATAGTAAAATGATGGATCCTCATGTTCCTACTGCCTGACTTCAAAAACAGTCAGCTCAGGGCCGGTCCTGACCTCTCGTCCACCCCTGCCCACTGCCCCGACCCCGTGACTTTCAAGCCATTTTCAGACTTCTGTCTGTGTATTCAGGATCCTCTAAAGGATGTGGACCCCCTCCTTCCCTTTCCAGTGTGACCCCAGATGCCAGCATCACACATGAACACGGGATATTTATTCGGTGTTCTCAAAGAGCTGGTCAGGGTCCAAACTTCCCCACTTGGGCTCTGTGCCTAGTCTCTTGTTGTCGCTGTAACAAATCACCACAAACCCAGAGCCGTAAGACGGCGACTTTTTATTCCGTCACCGTGTGCAGGTCAGAAGTCCAACCCGGGTCTCCTGGGGCGGAGGTCAGGTGTGGGCAGCGCTGGCGTCTTCTGGAGGCTCCGGGGTGGGGTAGGGATCACGTTTCCTGCCTTTCCCAGTTTCTGGAGAGAGTGCCTTCCTTGGCAAGTGGCCCCTCCTGCGTCCTCATAGCCCCCAGTGGAGCATCTCCAGCCTGTCGCTCCAGTCCTTCCACAGGCTCCTCTTTGGCTTTTAGGCCCCATGGTGACACTGGGTCCACCTGTCCAGTCCAGGGCATCTCCCCACCTCAGTCCCTTTGCCTTGTAAGACACGACCACAGGTCCATAGGGTAGGGTGTAGACATTTCTGGGGTCTTCTCTGAATGCCGCAGCCTATAAATATCTATTTTCTTTTTAGTTTGCTTGAATTTGGGTCCAAAGCAAAGTACATATGTTAGAATTGGTTAATAAATTTTTTAAACCTCTTTTTCTTTTTTAAGTAGGCTCCACACCCAGTGTGGAGCCAACATGGGGCTTGAACTCATGACCCTGAGATCAAGACCTGAGCTCAGATGGAGTCGGATGCTTAACCCACTGAGCCACCTAGGCGCCCCAAACCTCTTTTTTACGTTTATTTAATCTCTACACCCAACATGTGGCTCGAACTCACGACCGTTGAGATCAAGAGTTGCACACCCTTCCGACTGAGCCAGCCAGGCGCTCCTCTTGAATCTCTTTTTAAAGTACGGTTTTTGGGGGCACCTGGGTGGCTCAGTTGTTAAGCGTCTGCCTTCGGCTCGGGTCATGATCCCGGGGTCCTGGGATCGAGCCCCGCATTGGGCTCCTGCTTGGCGGGAAGCCTGCTTCTCCCTCTCCCACTCCCTCTGCTCGTGTTCCCTCTCTCGCTGTGTCTCTCTGTGCCAAATGAAGAAATAAAATCTTAAAAAAAAAAAATGAAGTATGGTTTTTGTTTTGAAGGAGTTGGAGGTCCTTTGTCCTGTAGTTGCTCACAGTCTGGGCCATACTAACGGTGCCCTCGCGGTGTCTTTGGAGTGTTTTTCTGTCGCGTGTGTTTCTGGATGTTGGTAGTGATGTTTCAGACTTGATCAGATTCATCTTCAGTTTTATTGTGTGTGTGTTTGGTTTCGTGGACAGTATTTTTCCTCAGAGATGGTGTTCGGTGTGTCCTCCCATCAGGAGGTACGTGCGGCCCAGCTGTCTCCCATTTTGTGCTGTGAGCAGCCCCTGGCAGTTGCCGGCCAGACCCGATTCCGTTTGGGTGCAGAGCTGGCCCGTCCCTGCCTCTGTTGACGAGCTGGCACATACTCGGAGGGCATCTCCCCTCGCCTGCTCTTTGTTGCGTGGTTCCCCAGGGAGGGCACAGTCAATGCCTCATTCCTTATTTTCCACTTTTCAGAATAATGACTTGGACCCACCGTGTCTGCCAAGGATGGTCAGTGAGTTGGAGATGTTTTTAATACCACAGTAAATCCATGCTCTCAGTAGATGGCGGGTTTCGTTCACATGGTTCTTACTCTTCCTTGCTGTGCAGAGGGCCCCCCCCCCGCCGTCCCCGCGTTGGCTCCTGAGGCATTTGATGTGTTCTGACATCTGCCGCAGCTTGTCCCAGGCTCCTCCTGCACCGTTCCCGCAGGCAGCCCTGGCCCTTCTAGGCTCTTTGGAAATAGGGACCTGCGTGCCGGACGAGTTCGTTGTCACCTGGCTTGTTTGCAGGCCTTTCAGTGAAGAGAATTAGGAAACAGAAGTGTTTTAGGTAGAATATATCAGGAGTTCATCCTGACACGGCTAATTCAGATGCAGGATTACACAGTTTCCTTCAGCTCTCTTGACTTTCATCTCTTTCCTCGCTAACCCACTGAAAACCGTGGTTTGCAGCCAGGCTAACATAATGGCTCACTCGCTTTTCCTCCCATTTCACTCAGGAGTCCCAACCGAACGACACAGCACTGCCCTTTACGATGCACTCACCGACAGTGGTTTACTTTTTTCTGGTCCTGGGGACGCCCCTTGAACAGCTCCGTTGAGTGTGGTCAGGGTGCTGTCACCCTCTGGATGCCCAGCTCACTCATTCCTCTTTACCTTTGATGTATAGGAATTGATTATTCCTTGTTTTGTTTTGTAATTATGTAAAGTATCTACACAGGTTCAAAATTCAGTCTACAAACAAGGTACATTTCAAGATTTTTTTTTTTTTTTAATTGAGAGAGAGAGAATGAAAGCATGAGAGGGTGGAGGGTCAGAGGGAGAAGCAGACTCCCTGCTGAGCAGGGAGCCCGATGCGGGACTCGATTCTGGGACTCCAGGATCATGACCTGAGCCGAAGGCAGTGGCTTAACCAACTGAGCCACCTAGGCGCCCAACAAGGTACATTTCAAATAAATCTAGTTATGTCTTCCCACTAAAATTAACTGTTTAATATTTATATTTTTCTTTTAAAAATATAAACAGGTTCGTAGATTTCTCTTCTTTATTGCATACCATACAGTTTTTCTCAACCTTGCATTTTATTTTGCTCCATGTCCTCACCCTCACTCGTGGGGTACACCAAGAACCAGGGGAGGTACTACTTGGAATTTCCCACTGGAGGTCCCATGGCTCACTCCTCCGAGTGTGGGCACTGGGCCCCTGCCCACCTTTTGAGGGTTAATGGCCCCACTGGCTAGGAGCCCAGGTCTCCCTGAGTCTGTCTGACATGGTCGGGGCAGGTCTGGGATGGTTGCCTCCAGCACTGTCCACTCGGGGGTCTCTGGGGCTGGCAGGGGCCCCCGCAGTGCCAGGCTAGACCCCCAGCGGAAGCTGGCTGAACGCCATCTCTTGCAGGACTCCTACCCAAGGTTCCTGAAGTCCTCCGCATACAAAGACCTGCTGGCAGAAGCTGTGATTCCCCCAGAGGCCAAGAGAAGGTGAGCTGGGCCGCGCCCTGTGCCCCGGGCAGTGAGGCAGGCGGGACCCACACAACTGCCCTGTGCTCAGGTCCGCTCTCCTCCACAGGGTGTTCCCATTTATGCGGAAGCCGCGGCATTCAAGCCCCAGCCCTGCTCTCCTTCCTGCCTCCACCTCTGGGGAGCCTGTGGCTGCAGCCAGTGGCCCTAAGTGTGGTGACGGGGGCACCTAGGTGGGCATAAAGCAGGAGGGGGAAGTGGCCATCCTCACTGCTTGCCCGGGGTCCTCACAGCTTTGAGACCCCTGGCGTGGGCGTCCCCTAATGCCCAGAGGGCCCGCCTTGCCCCTATGCCCAAGGGCGTCTTGGGCTCCCACCTTTTCCCTTGTCAAGCCCTCCCCTCCCCAGAAGGGGCTGGGCCAGGTGCTGATTCCCGGGAAGGGGTGTCATTGAGCTTGGGTCACCTGGAGAAAGGTAGGATGAGGTGGGTCAAGCAGATCAGGCCACATGAAGGCCCTGGCATTCTGTGGTCTGCAGTTCATTAAATCGCTGGCGAATACCAGGTGGTTTCCAGCAGGGGGCACTTATCATGAGGAACCGCAGGCCTCAGGGCAGATTTATCCACAGCCCTTGGCCCAGTGTGACCCTGCAGGGACCCCACACCATGTCCCCAGTTACGCTGGGGCCGTGCTCAGCCTTCCGACCAGCCCAGAGCTGTCCTCATGGGTCTTGCCCACACCGTGGCTGTCACTGTGAGTGTCCCAGACCTCATCCCACAGGGACACCTCCAGCTGGTGTCCTCGAGGCTGGGACTCCTCTGCCAGAGCTGCACAGACATGACTCCAGTGTCATCACCTGTGACAACCGGCCCCGGTCCATGGCCAGGGCAGGTGGAACCCTTGGGGAAGGGGGTGATGCCAGACCCAGGGTGAAGTACAGTCACTCCTTTGGGGTGCAGCTCTGTCAGGCCAGAGGGGGGTGCCACCCATCCCACTCCCACCCACACCCGGCCCAGAAATAAAAGACCCTTGCCCTCACTCTGAGCCCACCCTATTGTGGTCCGACTTGTGGACTGTGGGTTGAGTGTGTGGTGTGCACGAGTGAGACGTATGGCACATGAGGCATGTGTGGTGTGCATGAGACATGCAGGCGTGAGGCATGTGTGCGTGTGAGGCATGCGGTAGGTGTGAGGTATTTGTGGTGTGCGTGTGAGCATGTGTGTGTGAGGCATGTGGTAGGCGTGAGGCGTGTGTGAGGCATGTGGTAACATGAGGCGTGTATGTGTGAGGCATGTGGTAGGCGTGAGGCATGTGTGCGTGTGAAGCATGTGGTAGATGGGAGGTATGTGGTGTGTGTGAGGCATGTGGTAGGCGTGAGGCGTGTGTGCATGTGAAGCATACAGTAGGTGTGAGAGGTGTGAGGCATGTGGTAGGCATGAGGCATGCGGTTACGTGAGGTGTGCATGGTGTGTGAGGCATGCAGTTATGTGAGGCATGTGTGGTGTATGTGAGGCATGTGATAGGAGTGTGAGGCATCTGGAAGGCGTGAGGCATGTGTGCACGTGGGGCATGTGTGCATGTGAGGCATGTGGTAGGCGTGAGGCACGCGGTGTGCGTGTGAGGCATATGGTAGGCGTTAGGCATGTTGTGTGCGTGTGAGGCACGTGGTAGATGTGAGGCATGCAGTGTGCGTGAGGCATGTGGTAGGTGCGAGTCATGCATGGTTGTGCGTGTGAGGCATGTGGTCCGTGTGGCTTGAGGTGTGAGGCGCGTGCAAGCTGGGCAGTGGTGGTGGACAGTGGGGGGAGTTCGGGTATCAACAGCATTGGTCACGGAGGGTCCCACATCAGTGGGTCCACAGCAGAGGGGACCGAGCTGTCAGGCTGGACTCAGGCTGCAGACTCGGTGGTCTTCGGAGGGGACAGTGGGGAATGCCGTCTGTGCTCTGGCTGGACAAGGACGCCTGAGTGCTCCAGGAGAGTCAGGAACCTGAGTCCCGGGAGGTCATGGGGAGAAAGGAGGCTCTTGGTGTTCAGTCCAGCATCTTCTGGCCAGTTGTGCCCTAAGGCCTGAGTCACAGGGAGCCTGGCATGGATCAGAGCCCTAGAGGGACCGTGGGCACGGCTGCTTTATTTGCAAGTCCAGGCTGCACGATGCCCACCAGTGCGGGCATCTCCTGGGCCCGCCTCTAGCTCCTGCCCACGGTCTGAGGACCTGCAGGGTGGTCCCTCCATGCACTGCGGCGGGCCCTGGGATGCTGAGGGGCCCTGCTATGGCCCCTAGCCCTGCCCTACCCCCGGGGATTTTCATCTGTGGACTTGTCACTGCATCCTGTTCCTGAGGCCGTGTGGGCTGGGCAGCAGCTTCTCACAGTGACAAGGGTCCTGCTCCTTGGCAGAGTCCCCCCCCCCCAGGCTCCTGCCACCTGGGCCGCTGCACCCCTCAGGGACCCCTGCTTGTCCTGATGGGCACACACCCACGTCCACAGGCTAGGTTCCTGACTTGAACCAGGGTGACTGTGCGGGGGGCGGCGGATCTTCAGACCTGAGCTGCACTTAGAGGCCATGCAGAAAAAGTCCTCGGGGCCCCATTTCTGACTGGGCGAGGGGGGGGGACACCCTGAGACCCTTGTAGAGGGTTCCCCATCTCTGCCAGCAGCCTGGCCTGCACCAAATCCACTTTACCCCTTTGGAGCAGACACATGAGGCACACACGTGCCCTTTCAGACAGTGCAAACCATTTATTCCGGTTTCTTCCTGCGGGACCCGGGGTCATCAGGGCACAGTGAGCCACAAGGAGCACCACAGCAAGGCACAAAGGTGAGTCCCGCATCAGGTGACACCGACTGCTGGGGGCATCCGAGCACCAGGAGGGGGCCAGGCACCGGCCAGGGGTGTGGGGACCCCCAAGGGAAAAGCAGCTCCAGTGTGTACTGAGGGGGTGCAAACTGACCGCGACGTGCGCCCTCTGGCCAGTTCCTCAGGACGTTCACAGCACACGTGGCCAGCACAGGGACAGAAACGCCCCTGGGGCATCCATGAGCAGCAGGATGGCCTTACAGTGCACGGCAGCCCTATTCCTCCGCCCGTCAGAGGGGAATCCCTGGGCAAGTTTCCACTAACCAGGCCAGAGGCTGGAACGGCCTCAAGTGCCCAGCTGCTGCCCTGAGGCCACCCCAGGCCAACCACCCTCCCAGGCCCCAGGAGGGTGTGCAGACAGGAACGAGGGACGGGACTTCTCAGGATGGGGCTCTCTTCCTGGAACCCCGGTCCCTCCTGCCAATATGGACGAGTGAGGGTGGTGCTGTAGGGCCCAGTGAGACTACGATGAAGGCAGGTGGCCTGGACTGCGACCCCAGTGGGGCAGAGTGAGGACCTGTGGGGACGTGCTGCGCAGGAGGGGAGAGGCCTGGGTATCCCCTCACCCATGCGCGTCCCTGCATAGGACGGGAACCCCAGGATCAGGAGTAGGGAGTCAGTGCAAACCCAGGGAAAGACCGACTTCCCAGCAGCTGGAGCCTCTCCCACATGCGCTGCCCGCCAGGCCTCTAGGCCTCACTCCGGTACCGCAGGCGGGAGAACCGGTCCCGGACAGCCTGGTCGCTGTCGGGCCCGCCCTCGGCCAGGCGAACCACCCTACCGCTCGGGACAAGGTCCCGCACCTTGTGCTTGGCCACGGAGACCATGCCAGGCGCGTCTGGGCTAGCCGGGCCCATCAGGAGGACGCAGGCAGCATGGCGGCTTGGCTCGAACAGGACCGCTACGGGAGGGACGGGCCGTCAGGGCGCTCGGGAGCAGCCAGAGCTGAGCCGACGGCAGGCGCAGCCCCAGCCCCTGGGAGGCGCACTCACCTTGGAAGGCGACGATGTTGGCAGAGAAGTTAGCCAGCTCCAGCAGGATGCCAGGCAGGCTGGGATGGAATACGTACAGGGTGTGCTGGGCGTCTCTGGGCTCCTGGAGCGAGAACCACAGTGCAGCATGAGGCTGACCCCACGTCTGCATCAGAGACACTGGTGTCCTGGGCCCAGGGGCGGGGCCGTGCTATGCTCGCCCGCTCCGGACACCCGGAGAGAGTGGCCCTGCCCAGAGCTGTGTCCACAGGGTCCTCAACGGTGCAAGCAGCTTCTACTCCCCTCCCCTAGCCTGACCCTGACCCTTCTGAGGTATGCTCCCACTGGAACTCCGCACCTGCCTTCCCCCACGTCCCCCTGCTTCTTCCCAGATCCCCATCCTCTGCCCCAAGGCACACCTCAGCCCCAGCCTCCCGTGTGGTCTGGGGTACCTCATCCCACCCACGGTCCCATGGCTTCCATTTATGTGTGCACACCCAGTCACCCAGTTAGCTCCCAGCTGCCTTGAGGCAGGGCCCAAGGCTGGCCTCTGGTCTCTGGCCCTGGCCCAGGTGTGTCCCCTTAGTCCATGCCCTGCCCGTACTGTCTGGTTGGTGCCCATCAGCTCGTAGAGGCCCCAGAAGAAGAAGGCTGAGCGGTGGTCTGCAGTTGGCAGGCTGGCAGACTGCGGATCGCCGGGGAGGCCTGGGAGAGCCTGTTTCCACAGGACAGCCCCAGTGCTGAGGTCCAGGAACAGGATCTGGGAGGGAGGGGGACAGCATGGGGGGGGGCGGTCACAGGTGGGGCTTGCACAGGCCCACGGGCCCCAGCCAGGCCAGCCCTGAAAGAGCTGAACCCCAAGGGCACCCAGGATATCTCGCCAAGGCCTCTCTTTTGCTAGCTCAGCCTTCCAGCACGGCCCCGTCTGCTGTCCCGACTAACGTCCCTCAGCTACGAACAACGGTGGGGCCTCAAAGGGGGTGCAGCCAACCTGTCTGTCAATGCCGGTTCCGTTTTCAATGACCACAGCCAAAGTGTCAGGTTTGTAGTGGCCGAGGATGGGTTTTCTGCAAGGCACAGGACAGGAGCGTTCACACAGGGCCTCTGTCGGGGGGGGGTCTCTGGGAACAGGTACACCAGCCCTCTGCTCCTTGGCCGCACCTGGATGGGGCCTGGACAGGCAGCTGAGGCCAGGGTGGACGGGGTCTCACCGGCCCCTCCGGTGCAGGGCAGCACCAGGGGACAGGCAAGAGGCCTCTGGCTGAAGCACACAGACGTCCCCCAGCCACCCGAGGCCTCCTCCCAGGGCTGCCAAGGGACAGGCTGTGGTGCCCGGCTGGCAAGCACTGTCTGGTTCCTGGAGAAAGACTCGGTACCTCAAGACCTGGGCTGCACTGAAGGTCCACCTGGGCACCAGGTCCTGCCCATCAACCAGCACACAGGCCTCTGAACTCACGAGGAGGAGGTCCTCACCAGTCTTCCCTGGAACGTTCATCAGGTAGCGGATGGCTCCCGGGCTAAGGGGAGAGAGCCAGAGGGATGTGGCAAGGATGCGGGCTGCCTGTGGGGTTCGCAGTTCGCCCCATGCTCCCTGCTTCAGTTTAGGGTAGGACCAGATGCTGGCTGTGTGCAGAGAGCCCCCCCGGCTTCATCTCAGCTGCTGTAGGCCCGCTTCCCGTGTCTGAGCCCAACGGCAGGCAGGGCTGTGGCCCTCGCCCCGCGGCCACCCCTGCAATCCCCCGTCCCGACCGACCTGTGCCACAGCAGCCTGGGGGTGGTGGCGTTCAGCACGCCCTCCCAGCGCGGGTCGCTCCTCAGTGAGCTCCCGTTCCCGGTCGCCTTCTCGTGGAGACCCTTCACAGAGCAGCCACAGAGGGAGCTCGCTGCTGGAAACCCAGAAGAGCCTCAAGACGCTGCTAGCCGGGAGGAGGCCACCCGCTAGCCCTGCTTCCGGGACACACGGTGCCCTCCCTGAGCCTCGGGCGCGACACGCTCGGGCTTTCTGAGCCTGTCAGTGATGAACTCGTGTCCTCCCTGCGGTCCCCGGCTTCCCTGAGAGGGACAGTCCCGGGAACAGAAGGCGCACATACCACAAGGGAAAAGGATGTAGTGGGCACCCGCCGGGGAGATGTGCAGGAGGGAGCCCATGGTCCCGCCCACACCAAGGCTGCCGCGGTGGCCAATCTGGTGTCCAGTGCTGCCGGAGTAGAGGTAGCCGCCGACCTGTAACCCAGAGAAGGGGGTCAAGACCCTCCTGGTCCGAGGAAAGAATGCGTTGAGTGTGTGGACTCAGGCATCTGCACACCCTCCCGGGGACGCGGGCAGCCCCACGCCAGCCACAGGGCCCTGTCCTCCGTGCTGCTGCGGCACCTACGGCCAAGTGCACGCTCTGCCCAGAAGCTGCCCAGGGGGAACAGAGCCGCCCCAGCGTGCCGGTCAGCAGGTGCCAGGAGCACAGGGCCCTGGGCACGTCCCCCGACAAATGGTCAGACCCACGTTGTGCCCAGGAAGTGAGAGTGGACAAGGGGCAGAGAAGAGGCATCACAGTGAGTGGGCCACGGCGACCCAGGAGGGGAGCAGCACCTCCTTCTCCTCCTGGGTGAGAACCAACAGGTCTGGGGCCCCGTCAGCATCGACATCGGGCAGCTGGAGTAAAGAGCTCAGGACAGAAGCGTTCCTTCCAAAGCTGCTGGGGTGGCTCCACAGGGTTTCGCCTAAAACCAAGCACAACGTCACCAAGTGCTGGCTTCAAATCCCCTTCCGCTGCTGGCTAGCAATGGCACAGTGCCCACACTGAGAAATGGAAGTGCCCGCCAGCAGGAGGCCAGAGGCCAGCACCGAGTGCGCACCACTGGGCATCCAAGTCGTCACACGCCGGAGCGTCAGATGTGTCGCTTCTGGAACCACAAAGCTCCACCTTCCTGTTTTGCTTCTCCTGTGTCTTCTCATGTTTGGCTCTAGAACATCTTAGGGCCAACACTGACCCTCCCACCCGGATGGACAGGGCCTGACGCTTCCCAAGCCCCTCAGGCCCCCTGACTATTGCTGAAGTCACAGGTGGACCCTCGGCCTCCAGGGAGGCCCCGGCTGAGTCCTGCACACAGAGGTGGAGAAAGAAGGGGCATGCTTATGGCTGGACCCACGAACAGAGGCCCTGACAGAACAGCTTCTTTTTTCCCCAGGTACGATCTCATCCACACCCTTTTTAAGAGTATTTCCTCTCATGAAATATTTCCAGCCTTCTCTTTGTTTTCCTCTATCCCCTAAACCCACGACTGGTAAGGGAAATGCTACTCCTCAGCACACCCAGCGTCTAGGCACAGAATTCCTTAAGCCGCCAGTGGGATCTGGGGGCTAACCACGGCCTGTTACATGGAGGCCCAGACACGAGAGCCCGTGCATCCAGAGCCCTGACAGGCTCTCCCCCGGGGGCTCAACCAGACGCTGGCCCGGGTACTGCAGCCGCCACTGAGCTCCCATCTCTGCTGGCCCCACAAGCACAAAGGAGCCGGGAGGTGACAAGACAGGGTGGAGTGGGACTGCGAGGAGGCGGCACCCCTCCCTCCTACCCCTGGAACCTTCTTCCCCATCTTGTGGGCTGGGGCGAGAACCCAGGCTGAACCTCCTCAGAGTTCCCTGGTGTGGAACCTCCTGTGCGGAGCCGCCTACCTGTGAACAAGTCCACAGCAACGAAGGAACCGGGTCTGCCCACGAGGATGCAGGCAGAGGTCGACCTGCCGCCCTGCAGCTGTGGGACGGAGCACTGCACAAGGGCCCCGTCCTGGGCTGCGGGCCTCTCCCAGAGCACGCTGCCGTTGGCCCCAGACACGGCGGCCACAAAGGTACAGGGGGAGGAAAAGCCTGGCGGGGAGAGACCCAACTCTGTGGGGCACGTCAGCCCCTCTTCCCCACACCCTGCTCCCGGGCCCAGCCCTGACCGCTGGCCCCGCAGGAACCCTACTGCTGGCCCCATGGGGTCAGGAGCTGCGCGGGGGCCAGGGTGCTGGGACCACAGCCCACACCCTGTCTGTTTCTAGGCCTCCTGGGAAGGAAGGGCAACGTTCCAGTTTCCCGAAATTCCACCAACTGCTTCCCCCAAAGACGGCAGAAGGAGAGGATCCCTCCACCCACAGGAAGTTCCTCCTTTTTCAGGTAAAAGCAAAATCACCTTCGTCGGTGCAGGATAGGTTGAAATTGTTGCTGCCATTGGTATTTTTATAAAGAAAGAGAACATCTTGGATCCTGTCCCTGTTTATGTCTTCTGTAGCCAGAAAGTCATAGGTGACTGAAAAAGAAAATCACAGACTGTAGTCCTGGGGCCCCGCCAGGCTTAAAGGCCTGGTCAAGCCCGACACCACCTACTTTTGTGCTCCCTGTGGGTCAGCACCAGTTAGCACCTGCTAGCGTGAGGCCGCACCCAGAGCAGTGGCGTGCAAACGCATGCTCGCACACCTTCTCTTCAGGAAGGAGTCCCTCCCTGCCTGTCTGGGTCCAGGAGTCTGCACTCCCACACTCGTAAGGGTTGACTTCTCCCTTTCATTCAAGGACTCAAATGATACACTGCAAGTGTTAACACAAAAACGAACTAAGGGGCGCCTGGGTGGCTCAGTCGGTTAAGCGTCCGACTCTTGATTTCTGCTCAGGTCATGATCTCAGGATCGTGGGAT